ATAGGAGCTAACCTCTGCAGAGCACTTACCATGTCAGACAGCACATGAAGCCCTAAACATCTAATATCCCACTTCATCTTCACAACTTTGAGAAATGAAAGACAGTTTCATCAGTAGAGGACTCTAACAATGATTCTCAAAGTGCGGCCCCTGGACCAGCAGGATAATTATCACCTGAGAAAGTGTTATAAATGTACAGTATATACCTTGTCCTCACTTCAGACCACCCGAATCGAAAACTCTGGAGTTGGGATCTAGAAAGCTGGGTTTCAGTACACTCTCCAGATGCATCCTAATGCTTGAGACAGATGGTGTTCAGACCTTAAATCCTGGTTCCTAGACATCATATCCTACCAAAGCCCATGAGCATAATTCCTTATTCACCCTCCCTCTCTGCTACATGAGAAGAACACCAATTACAGATAAGTTTTACCTTAAAAATTCATTGTCAAGAGATATCTTGTGTCCTTTCTTATCATCTCACTTATTTATGTACTAAATTCACCACTAGAGGGAGGTACGACATTCCCACATACACTGAATCGTAAAAGCAAAAAAATGAACAAAACCAAACCAACAAAAAGTTAAATCTCGTATCAAAAAAGTTTTACTTCTATGTATTAACATTAAAATAATTTGCTTGATTTACTTAACATTGGACAGTTGCACTGGAAGTTGGTATTTTGTTAGGCATGAACTTAGTGTTAACAAACAAGTACAATATATCACGATTGATCACTTAACATTGTTTGCATTTCCTGTGAATGAGGGACAGGGAAAGATGGAGGGAGAGAGAGATGGGGAAAGGGAGAGGAGGAGGGAGAGGGAGAGGGAGACTAGGGGTTGAAATTCAGGACCTCATGCATGCTAGACAAGTGCCCTATCACTAATCTATATTCTCAACCCTCATCTGTTCATTTCTAAAATAGGAAAAAGTTTAGATTACCAAAATAATATTATTATTTAAATAAAAAATCTAATTTATACTGTATTATGATATGTAAAGTCCCAAAGAAACAGGACTTGAAAACAGTTCCCCCAAAAAAACTTATTCAGTTGTGTGCATGATGTCTGCTTTTACCTTACTCAGACAACTGAGTTCAGAAATGATAAATTCTATAGCCGGTACATGATGAAGTTCTCACGACTAAATTAGTGAACAAAGCTAATACAACTCTTTTCCTCTGGCAGACTCTGCTTAAATCATACTAAATAAGTTAGAATTTATTAAATGTTATACAAGATAATGTTATGCCATTTTCATAATGTATGACTAGCATATAGTACTATAAGAAAATCATACCATAATACTTATAACCTGGAATAATTTCCAGAGATTTTGGAAGCCTACATCCAATGATGGACCAATCCTATGACATATGACCTTCCTCTTCAAAATCAAGAATGACTTTCAAATGTTTATATTTGTTTAAGAACTGCAACAACAACAAAAAAAAGTACTCTTGGATGGGGGTCTTGGTGCAGTGGGGAAAAAAACATTAAGGAAGATGAAGAACTTAATACCAGGTCTCCTGCTATGTCATCATGTGACCTGCTAGGTCCCCAGCTCCTCTTCAGTGGGATGACAGGTTCCAAGAGAAAGTATAACTTATAAAAAATAAAGTGTCTCTGAGTAGTCAAAAGACTTGAGAGAAATTATGCTTATGTGTTTTGAAATGTCTGTTGACAGGACAATAAGATCAAAAACCTTATCTCAGGAGGTTTCCTAGAGAACATTTATCCCACATACCAGATGGAGACTGAGAAGTGCAAGTTGATACATTTTTGTTTCACAATTACAATGCTGTACTTGAGGCATTTGTTAAAAGCTTTATGTTACATTATGAATAACACAGTGCCTGCTCTTTTTAGCACATTAGTACCTTCACACTGTTACTAAAATAAGGTCAGTGATCCTTAATTTTATGTATCAACTCGATTGGCCCCCAGGTGTGCAGACAGAGATTCTGTGCGTGATTGTGGGGAACGTTTCTGAGTGAGATTAACGTGTAAATCTGTAGGCTGAGTAAAGTACATTGTTCTCCCTCAAGTGAGTAGTCCTCTGCCAATCGCCTGAAAATCTGAGTAGAACAAAAAAGCTGCAGAAGAGAGAATTGTCCCTTCCTGACCATTTGCTATAGACATCGCTCTTTTCCAGCTTCCTCACTAGAAATATCGACTTAGGGGGAGTGTATAACCTGCCAGTTTTCAGACTGGAATTTACCCAAACAGTTTTCCTGGTTCTCGGGTGTTTTCACCGGGACCAAGACTACACATTGGCTCTCCAGAGTTTCCACTTTACGGTGGTCAGCAGATCTTAAGATCTTTCAGTCTCCATGATACTTGAGCCAACTGCCTATAATATAAGCACTCTGTCTCTCTGTCTCTCTCTCTTAGTTCTGTTTCTCCGGAACTCTCACTCATACAAGAAGTAAATTGCAAACTCCTTAGCATGGTCCAAATACCCTAGAAGACCTGGCTGCACCTGTCCTGGACCACAACATGGTCACCCCCTCCACTCCCATCTCATGGGCTTCATTCCATTTCTTTGCTCACAAGAGGCTCCCTCTGACATGGGCTTTTCAATCACTCATTCACTCATCTATCTATTCATTGATAAATGCAAGTCATTATTGAGTTCTTATGATGGATACAGCACTGTGGTGGTAACAGGAATATAAGGGTAAGAGAAAAGTACCTCATTTCATGAGAATATACTCTAGTCATGGGAAACAGAAAGAGGATATAACCAAATGAATTGCAAAGAGTGGTATATGCTTCAAAAGCAAGGAACTTTGGAGAGTGGTACATTCTTCAAGAGAAACAGTAATTTAATAGTAGGTTGATGATCAGAGAAAGCCTTGTTCTGTGCCTTTAAAGCACACTATTATATGGTACAAACCTACTGAGACTCAAAGGAGAGGCAGCATAGGCAGAGAATGGCAAACGCAGTACTGACTGTGAAAAGCTTGGTAAGTGCTGGGAGCAGAACACTAGTGTGGCATAGCACAGCGGCTCAGCAAGAGAAGGTAGAGGGTGGACAGGAATGCGTTCAGCCTTCATAATCAGAGTAAGAACTAAAGATGCGACTTTAAGTGCACTAGGAGCTGTGGAGGGTTGACATGCTCTGAGTTTGATTACGCACCACAGTGTGTAACGGCAGGTATGGGGGGACCTGTCAGGAGAGGTGATGGTGAGGAGACCTGCATGATTAGAGGGGTGTGCAAGAAATGAAGAAGTGATTCAGGATGTGTTTTGAAGATGGAACAGATGGGAACTGCCAATGTGGCTACAGAAAAAGACAGCTCCTGGGCTTTTGATTTGAACAATTAACCAAAAGGTAATGCTTTTTTTGGAATATGGAACAGGGTTGAGGAGGAAGGTGGCAATTCGCAAGTGCTATCCCTCTTCCTAGACTGATTTTTACACCCTTGCCACCTAATTAACTCCTTCCCATTCTTTAGAACTCAGATTAAAATTCACTTTCTCAATGAAGTCTTGCTTCAATAGTTCAAACCAAAGCTCTAAGTGTGTTCTCCCTTGGTGCCTTGTTGTTTCCCGTAGTACCTCACTTACATTGCAAAAGTAGCCACTTTTCTTCTCCGCTCTTTACCAGCCACCTCTGCACTAAACACTGGAGAGCCCACTTGCTGATGCTGGTCTGAGCCACGTAACTTGCAGCATCCAATAGGATAGTGGTGAACGTGTGCCAGCGGAGACTTGAAAAGCATCTGTGCAGTGGGACTGGTCCTGTCTTGCTCTAGCAGAACGCTGAAACCACACGAAGAAGCAGGCTGTCTGGAAAAGGAGAAACACATTGTCCCTACTGCCAGGTGGCCTATCCCAAGACACATAAATGAGGCCATGTGTATTAATCTGTTTGCATTGCTAAAATGAAATACATGAGGCAGGCTATTAAAAAATAGAGGTTTATTTAGTTCCCAGTTCTGAAAGATTCACAGACGTGGTGCCTGTACCGGCTCAGCCTTGGAGAGGATTTCATGAACCGTGACAGCAGCACTTGTGGGAGGAAAAGACCACATCTGGACACCACGGTGCACAGGCTTTTGTAACAATACTATGGGGAGAACTAACCCAGGTCCCACAAAACCTTAATCCTAAGCAAAGGCAGTTCATTCCTCCAGTGACACAAGGTCCTCCCTCCTAAAAGCCATCTCTTAAAAGTCCACTACTTTCCATCTCCACACTGAGGACCAAGCCTCCAACACATGAACCTTTGGGGGACACACTCAAACCATATCCAAACGGCTCCATCTAAAATCACCCAGCTACCAGCAGACCCACTGGTTGATTAGCAAAAGTGGGAAAGAGCCTGACTGAACAGAACCAAAGCAGATGAAATACTCACCCACTCACAGAATCCTGACCTAGAGAAAGGAGTTTGGAAAACCACTAAGTTCAGTGGCGATACGCTGCACAGCAAAAGCTGATACAGAAGCACGTACTTCCACTGCGATTTTACATCTGTGTTTGAGTCAGGCCTATCCCTTTGCCCAGACAGAGAGCTCTGTAAGAGCAAAGGCTCTTCTGACTAGGTTATTCCTGTTCTCAGAGCCCAGCAGAGGACGAGAATACAGCAAGCATTCAACAGAGAGCTTGCTGAACCAATGTAGGGGAAGAGAGGCAGGCATCCTAAGACAAGAGAGAGAGGGAAGCTTTAAAAAGCATAAAAAGAACCAACGACACCCATTAATGCAAAATGACCTTCCACTGAAGCTTATGCCAAAAGCACGTTTCCTTTACCAAAAAGAACCCAAGGATGTAGAGCAAAATCAACAGTATGCTCCAAGAGAAAGATACCTAGACTGCCTGAGTGAGACCCAGAAAGCTTGACTTTAGACCGGGTTTACACGGAAGAGCAGCTCTTAAAGATTCCAAGGGGTGCAAAAGCGCACGTGTTCAGAGGAAACTCTGGGGTCCTTGTCTCCTCTGTGCATGGACACATTTGAAGGGTGTCCTTGTATATTATTCCCCGGCTCTGACTCAATCTTTTCCACCAAGGAGGAGCTAAACATCTGCCCACGTCTCCAGATTCCACATCGCGAAGCACGCAGACAGGCGAGCCAGCCGACAAGCAGAGGCGGCGCCCGGGCTCCCCGTCCCCCTCCCGGTCGCCGCGACCCAGCTTTTCCTCCTCTGCTCGCAGGGGCCTGGCAGGCCGGAGACCAGTGCGCCGGTACGGGCAGCTCTCCTGCAGGACTACAGGCCCCGGCTCCCGCCCTCCTCGCAGGCGGGCCCACGCCGCAGCCCCTCGCGGTCCCTCCCCACGACGCCCTGGTCGCACCCCGGCTGCCTCCCTCCCGCTTGGGGCCTGGACCTCCGGGCCGCGCGCCACGTTCCCATGGAAACGCCGGGCTGGCGCGGCGGCGCGCGCGGGGCGGGCTCTCGGGTGTGCGCGGTGGCTCGCGCCCAGTGCGCGCCGGGCGCCTCGGAGCCCTAGTCGTTGGGCTCCAGGCCGTTTGCGAAGCAAGATGTTGCGACGCACCCTGGAAAGCCGGTAACACGGAGGGCCTAACTGCCCAGGGCCGCATCTACGCGGGAGCTGGCGTGGGGGAAGGGTGCCCTCTGGGTGAGGGCCGGGGTTTCGCGCCCAGGTCGACCGCGGGCTAGAGGCGGCATGGTCCCCACAGCGCTCCGGGCCCATCTCCTTGCTGCGGGGAACCAAAGGCCGCAAGTGCTCGCGTCCCTGGGCCACCATCCGCTTCTCGCAGCTGCAATCAGGCCTGCGGTGCAGAAGCCTGGCAGGCTACTGGCGTCCGTGCCGGTCCCATCGCGGCCCTACGCGGTCCAGGCCGGAGGCCAGGCCCCGATGGGATCCGAGGACGGTCGGCCCTGGGGATGGTGGCACCGTTGTCGGGGGTGGGCTTTGAGAAGTGCAGGGCTCTGACAGTGTTTGCATTATCAAATTAACGTGAAGCCGTCTCATTTTTAACGAGAGTCTTTCGCGCTCTGTCACCTTTTTTCTCCAGGGACGCCCAAACCAGACACCTGCAAGATGCTGTCACAAATGTGGAGAAGCATTTTGGGGAGTTGTGCCAAATCTTTGCTGCTTATGTGCGGAAAACTGCCAGACTGCGAGACAAAGCAGACCTCCTGGTGAACGAAATCCACATGTACGCCTCTACGGAGACCCCAAATTTAAAGCAAGGCCTGAAAAACTTTGCTGATGAGTTTGCCAAACTTCAGGATTATCGACAAGCACAGGTATGGGGTGAGGTCACAGCGACATTGTTAAGAATGACCCAGGAGGGGCTGGGGATTTAGCTCAGCGGCATAAGCACCTGCCTTGCAAGCAGGCGGTCCTGAGTTCGATCCCCGGTACGGGCAAAAAAAAAAAGACCCAGGAAGTAGAGGATTATGGTTTCATGGAAGTTTTCACTGTAATCTATCACACAGCGGTGGCAACACACATTGATGATAAACATAATTTTCATGTTTGCATCACCATGTGAGCCCATTAAAGGAACGTTTTCTGTATCTTGCTATTTTCAAATAAAACTTCAGGGTGTCTGTGGTATCATGAATTTACCCACTTCGTTTGCCAACTTTAGTGAAAAGGTGGGTCAGTGTTCAGGTTACTTCATCTATGTATAGGTTACTCCATCTTAATTATTACTAGTGATGGAAAACGATGAGGACGGCAATAGGAAAATACATGTTAATAAATGGCCAAGATGTGGATGCTTCCCTGCTCTAGAAAGCTGACCAATAGGAAAGCGATGATTTATATCATACAGTAGTGGAACTTTGTTAAGGCTGCCTTTTGCTTTTTGTTTTCAGTGGTCGAAGTACTTGTTTTTGTAATTGCTTTCCTTCTAAAAGGCCGTTGTTTCCTTTAATATTTCATAAGCACTTGCACTATTTTCTGTTTCAAGACAGAGGTTAGCTTGTCTGAGACTGCCCATCAGGACTCCACTGTTTTTGTACATTTCTCATCAGTACGCTCATCTCTGATTGGCTCTTTTTACAGCTTAAAACAGAAATTTTGATTATCAAAAGAAAGCGGACAATAACCACCTTTGAAACCATCATTGTTATGCATATAAAACATCTGAGTAGTAACCACATTTAGATACCTTTTGGAAAAATGCCGAGCTCTTGTACATTTTGTGATAAATTCTCAGTTATACACAGCACTTGGGTATGGTATGTTTCAAAACTAATTTATATTCAGATACTTCTGAAATCCTATTTTAGCCAGTAATTTTCCCTTTTTAGAAAACGTGTATGTTTAACAAAAGCAAAGTGAATTGATTTACATTTGTTCTCCTTTTATTTCCTTTGCTTACCAAATGGTGGAGATGCTAATGAACAATGACAAAAGGTAGGCAACAGGAAGAACCCAGGGGGGGCGTCCTGAATAACCCTTACACCAGTCAGTGTCTGGATTATTAGCAATGCTATAGAATAACCTATCCTGAATATTTATATGCTCATGTGAACTTGATTTTTTTCATTTTTCTAAAGCTTTTAAAATGAAACGTTTATACATTTTTGTATAAAAATGAAATGTACTAATCAGCATATTATTAAAAGCTTTTTTCCTGCTATACATATTTTAATACATGTCATTTGTATTACCTGTCCTGATAAAATTTTAATGTCAAAGTTGTTTTTCTTACACTGTATTTATACATATTTGTTTTTAAAAACTTTTTCAGTGCTATTAGCATTTGTAAAAGCTTTTTCTCAAATTGTTTTAAAAACTGTAATAACACTGTTAACTCTTGATTAAAACTTTAACTCTACATCATAGTTTAACAGAGCAGAGATACTAAGATGATTTATCTTGTTCTCTGTCCTTGACAATTTAAATGGCTCAGGAAAAAAAAAACTGCAGTAAATATAGTAACATCTATGCTTTTTTGCTTTTGAGGGCTTTTTAAAAAATGATTTCAGTATGCTATATTTTTCAGCTTCCTTTTTCTGGAAAGTTGGACTCTTACAATTCAGAAAATTCTGTGAAGTATCCACTAAACACACTGAAATGATAGCTGTATTACAATTTGTGATGTCTTAATTGTTAAGGTAATTCAGATCATTTTGCAGCAATTTGTGCTCTGCAGAAACCCATTTTGTTATATTGTACACTGGCTGCTCATCTGCTTTTATTATTACTCAACAGGGTTTAATGTATTTTAGATTTTTGTCTTACAAAGTTCTGGTGATTATTCTTTTATTTATAAACATGTTAAAACAGTAGCATTCTAGAATAGTAATCTGTACTGTATTTCAGGTTTAAACAGAATAGGTTTTATTTCAGTGTTTAAATTTTGATATCTCTATGTTTCTTTTCAGTTATATTTTATAATAATTTTCAATAGGTTGAAAGACTTGAAGCCAAAGTGGTTGGACCTTTGAAAGCTTATGGAGCAATTGTAAAATTGAAACGGGTAAGTCAATCAATGGCAAAAAACATGAGGTTTCAGACTATCCTTTTAGTTAAAAAATACAAAGTGATGTGTTCATTTACATACTGTGAAAGATAATTTCTGATTTTTAATAATGAAATATTTTTAATGAGCTAATAAAAATGCTATTAAAATATACTGTGGCAGGATACTTTATTGGAAATTTTAAAAATATTTAATAAAGTGAAAGAATATATAGACAGAATATTTTACCAAATAGATGTATCTTTATGTATCTTTGTTTTAAAGCAGATGACACTTGTACTTTATGGATGTGCTGACGTTCTACTTTTAAAATCAATTCAGTAGAATTTGGCTGTTTTTAAGTGTTCACTGAATTTTGACAACTGCATGTCCATATAACAACTACCACAATCAAGATCATACACATTTTTATGGTTGCAGTTTTACATTGAATTATGTCATTATTTTCAGAGTATTTTAAAAACCACATGCACTGACACTTATACAAACATACATTAACTCTGCAGTACTTGTAATTCTTGTGATAATGGTACCTTGGATTAAATGAGCAGCTTTTTTTCATTCTTAAAACAATATATTTTTATTTCTTAAATCAGACACCTTTATTGACAAAAAAATACATTTGCAGGATGATCTCAAAGCAGCATTAACAGCAAGGAATCGAGAGGCTAAGCAATTAACTCAATTAGAAAGAACGCGTCAACGAAACCCATCTGATCGACATGTAATTGTATCCTTTGATTTCTGATCTGCAAAAAACATTTACTTGTAAAGTCTGCAGTAGAGAAGTAGATGTATATGGATGCTATAGAAATTCTACTTTGAAAAAGTGTAGAGAATTTTAATATAAATGCTGAAATGCATAACTTAGTTACTGCAAAACTTATAGCTGAAAGGTGAGTATACACCTATCTCAATATTTGTTTTCAACAATAGACTTCCCAAAGACAAAACAAAAAGCTTCCACTCATAAATGCAGATGTTTTCTCAAATTCAAAATTCTGAGAATTTTTTTCTCACAACATGATGGCTATGTAATTATAAAATTAAAGATCTATCACTACCCTTAATGTCAGTGCTGTCTGTCCCACTTTTGAGAAAAATAATCCTTCAATAATTCTCTCCATCCTTAAACAAACAAAACTTAGGTAAAACCATAGTTAATGATTTTCAACAAAAGACTCTCAGGACACTAAGAGTATAATTAAACCAGTCCCACGTGGACACAAAGTATCTAAACAGAAATGTCTACTGTGCATACTCACAGCTTTCTTAGAGTATACCTTGTTAAAGACTTACAAATTTAATTCATATGCTAGTTGCTAAATGCAAGCAACTGGTAGGCCTGCTGCTTTTTTCCCATTTCCTTCATGTATGTCTTCCTACTTAAGGTTATTGCTTAGCTCAGCCAGAAACCAACAGGAGTGGCACATTGGGGACTTCTGAGATTCCAGAAACTCCATTCCTGAGGGGAATCCCTTAAGCAGTTGCCTGGTCTTCCTTCCTTTGGACTAAAGATACACAAGTCCAACCTGTATTAAACAACTGGCAGCCGCAGGGCTGAGAGTGTCCACGGGAGGCCAGGACAGGTCCATGTAGGCAGTTATTGAGGTTTCCCAACTCAAACTGGAGATTTTAACAATGTATTTTTAAGTAAGCCAGACAAATGAAGAGAATGCTGAAAATTTCATGACTGATAACTAGAGATCAAGGCAGAGGCCAGGAAGTCACCAGTGTTTAAGAAGTAAGCTGGAGACCAAAATTGTTTTGTTCTTGGTGAGAGGGATACATGAAGGCAGGTGAAACAAAACATCTGGAATCTTGTAATTGATGACTGAATCAGCAGTACTGGTACTGACCTTCAAAACAAAGGTTTTTCTGACAGAAGTTCTGTCAATGCTGCTGTGAAAGTAGCCCTACAGCATAGAAAAGGTCTGTGGGTTCAAAACTGAGGGAAGTGAAACAAAAAGTTGTCACAGATTAACTAATTTGCTCAATATTATGGTATGATCTAAAACTTGTGGATTTTAACCACTTGAGACTTGAAAATACAGGGCAATCTACATATTTAAATATAAGTATAAAAATACTCTGTCACACCATTATAGTATTTTTAAGTAAGACAAACTATTAAAATTCAACTGACTCTATTCAGAAGCATGCTGAAGTTCAATATGTAAAACAAAATGAAGTCTCTGGTTGAAGAATGCCAGGGTTCTGTCTGCTGAACCCTGAAGACCTGGGATGACTTGTGAACAGCTTCCTGCAGCATGGTTTGACAAGTACCCATCTGGCTCAATCTTTTATAGTATTTGAAAAGTATACAAAAATAGAAGATGTAAATGAATATATTTTTAAGTACTTTTTAAGTTTAGTTTGAGTTTTAAGAGTATAGAATCCTGCAGGAGTGGTTTTAATTTATTGAAAAAATTGGTCTATTCTCTTTGAAATGCATTTTTTCCTTTATGAAAACTTTCAGTCACAGGTGGGTGATAGAAAGTGGTGTACCAAGAAATGGATCCTTACAGTAAACCTTTTTACTTCTTTCAGTTTATATATGTTCTTGACAAAGAGAGCAATCACTCACAATATTACATGTCCCAACTTTGCTGACAAATTCAAGTTTTTCTCATGGTTAGTTATTAGACACTTGAGCAAATATACTAACATAAAAATCAACTTTGCTAGAAATAATTTCATCAGAAAATTGGGTTATAAAATCTGTTTCTATTGTGAGAAAAGTCTTTTATGATTTCTCTTTTAAACCATTCTTACATTTTAAGAAAATATTTTAAATGTTTTGGGGGCAACTATTATCCTAAAAAAAGAGAAGCTTAAAGAGAATCCTTGATTGAATTGGAAATGTCTGCACTTAACATTACTATTGATTTGGCTGAGTTCAGGAAATACAACCACAGTAACCTAAGAAACAGTTTTTGTATCTTTATTTAATGTGGCAGGTGCCACCATATTAACTGCACAACACAGATTTAGATAGTTTGAGTACATGTCAACGTGTGTGAAGCAAAACATTAAACTTGCCATCTAATTTACTACTAGTGTATACATACTTTTATAGAAGCACAAGCCAACAAACAGTATATTTCTAGTTCATAAAAATCTACAAGTAAAAGTCCCATGCTGAAATAATTTTAAAAACTCCAACTGATGACTATTCTAAAATTAGACATAGTTCATGAATTTGGAAAACTGTTAAAACCAAAGTTGTAGCAGATTTAAATTACTGTACATCCTTGATAACCTCAAGTGCTATACTTCAGTGTTGTGATAAATTTTGAAAATGACTTTTCAGTGCTAGAAATTGTCATGGCAATTGTGTTTTCTATTGTGAACTCTCTGAGTCCTTTCCAAAGACTACTTCATTTGACCCATAAAATAATCTTTTTTTTTTTTTCTTTTTTGAGACAGGGTCTCTCTATGCAGTTCAGGCTGACCTTGAGCTTACTTTGTAGCCTAGGCTAGTCTTGAACTCACAACAATCTTCCTGCCTCAGCCTCTCAAGTGCTGAAATTACACCACCACACCCAGCTCATAAAAGAATCTTGTATTTTACAGACTGACAATGCTTAAGAGAACTGGAGATATTTGTTAATTATAAATATTATTCCCTTTGGGGGAAGAAAAAAAGGGTAATATGATAAATGGCATAGGCATTAAAACAGAAGGAAGCAATAGAAACAGGTGATGATAAAATGGTTTTATAGAAAGATTTTTGAGTTCATGAACCATGTCACTTAAGGGATTTAAAATTAGTGATTCTGCATGACTTAACAGAGATCATTTTATTATATGTGGTAAATTATAATACTGAATAATTTACACTGTTATGCCCAAAAAGCAAACACTGAAATGGTAATATTTCCCAATAGTTCAACTAAATGGATCCTGATGTAATTTTTGTATTTCTGATTGGGGAATATTTTATAGGCAGAAGCCGAATTACACATAGCTTCAACAGATGTTACCCGAACAACTCGTCATCTGGAGGAAACTATTGACAATTTTGAAAAGCAGAAAATAAAGGATATCAAGGTAATTAAATTAGTTAGGTTTGAAAAATGTTTTCTAACCTTATTTCTATTTAAATTTGTGAAAAACCAAAATTACTGATTTTTTGTAACCCCATAGTTCGTATGAAAAGATATCCTGGATCAAAATATATTAAATGTCAACAGTAAAGATATCATAGATCAAAATATTTCAAATGTTTAAAGTGGTAAATAAAGGGGCTACATTGTCAGCCAAAGGCTAAATACTGTTTGATCAGGGGGAATTAATATTCCTTGTATTTTCATGAATCAGGTATTGTATTTTTATGTATCATCATAACAATCACAAGAATGAGGTAATTATTAAGAAACAGATACAATATAATTTACCCAGGGTACCACTGCCAGAAATATGTTTTTTAAAAATCTGTTTTACTTATCATTAATATCTATAGCACAAAACTTTCTAACAGCTATTTATAAGAGCCAACTATATAAATTAAATCCATTACTATAGCTACTAATTGCATTACTTTAACACATCAATAGATGATCTGAAACATTTCTGAGAATCATGGAATTCAGTAGGTCCTCAGTGTCTTTTTATTAAGGTACCTTAGAAAGACCTGAATAATCGTTTGCCAACTTTTGAAAATGCATCTAGGAATGTCTTTTTTAGCTCACTGAAAATTTTCCTGTAATAAACTTTAAAAGTAGGTTTTTACTGTTATTTTGCTACTACTAACAAAGAATACTTTATGACTTCATGAGCTATATTCTTATCAATGAGTATTATGTGCCCCTTGGTTGTATAATCCATCTCTGAGATCCATGAAATATTAATTTGCATCTTTTAATGTCCTATGGTAGTTTCAAAGAATTTTATAACGTCAGCCTCCCAATTAAGTCACCAGCTCTGCAATCTGTTGTGTAACTGCAGAGTGCAATTCACAGATGAGCATCTAAAGAGATTGCCTTGAAACAAATGCCATTACCAAGCTAGGAGGAGCAAAGAAGGGCAAGGAGTTGTACAATGGCTCACTTCCTCTTTCTTGAGTGCTAAAGGAAGAAGGGTTTTTAAATAATTAACTTTAAGCTGAAAATTGAGAATGGAGACTTGAGAGGATTGGCCTGATGTTACTGCCATCACTGAGGGCTTCCTTAGTAATAGGAATCCCATTCCTTGCTCCACCACTGTTTTTGTGCCTAAAAACTGTTTTAATCAGATTCATCACTACCCTGATCTTTAGAATCACTGTTGTGTTCCACATGTGTTGGCTACTTTTACAAGCATTATCAATTCCCTGAACTCAGCAAGTACAAAAATGGGACAGAAAGGGTGAATGCAGAATTCGCAGCTACAACTGCTATACCAGAGACTTCCTGCAATAGATGGAGGGACTGGGGGAATGCAGAGAGCTTCCAAACTTTCCTTTGTCTGGGAGTATCATGTCCCTAAGCCATCTGACAGTTGTATGGGGTGCAGAACAGACGGAAAAAAACCTTCGCCTTTAAAAATCTGAAATACAATTTGAAATATACAACTCTGTGGTTTCCAGTGTACTCAGGTACATGCAAACATCATCAACAGTAGAACATCTTCATCACCTTAGTCTTGTACACTTTAGCTTTTACCTGGCTTAGACCCAAACTGCAGGCCTTTGTTTCTATGAACTGGACTTCACTTCATACAAAAGGAATCATACGTGGTCATTTGTAACTAGCTTCTTTCACTAGATTTTAAAAGCTTATCTACATTGTAGATCAATACCCATTAGCATTATTATCTGGACTTTTTGTTTATCCACTCATCAGTAACAGAGATTTGAGTTGTTCCCATGTTTTGGCTGTTAAAAAGTAATGCTGATGTAAACAGATTTAAGTTTTTGTATGGACAAGTATTTTCATTTTTCTTGCAAATATACTTAGAATTGCTGGATCATTTGATGGCTGTATTTAATCGTTTGAGGAATTACCAAACTGTTCCATAGCCAATGCACCACTGTACATGCTTTCTGAGTGTAATGAGGCTCTAACTTCTCTGCATTTTCAATACTTCCTAGTCAAACAGAATTCTTAATTGTTCCCAAACTAATGGGTACCAGGTAGTATCTCACTGTGGTTCTGATTTGCAATGTCTTATGCTTTTAGGTCATTCATATATTTCCCTTAAAGAAATTGCTATTCAGATCCTTAGTCCCTACTTTGAGTTGCTTGAGTGGAAAGATACACATACACATCTGCACACACAATCCCTTACACGGTAAAAGTCCCTTATTAATGATTTGCAGTTTTCTCCCATTCTGTAGGTTGGCATATTTTTTGATGTCATGTGAAGCACAAGTTTTTGGATGAAGTCAAATTTCTTTTCTTCTGCTATCTCTGCTTTAATACCAGCTAGGAAACCACTGCCAAATATGAAGTCATAATTCACTTCTTCCTCATAGTTTTATAATTTTAGGTCTTATTAGCCTTTGACCCATTTAAATTTTGCTTTGTAGTGTAAGCTGAAGGTTAAATTCATTCTTTTTCTTAAACTGTTCCACACCATTTGTTGAAAGGACGACCGAATGGGCTTAGCACCTTTGTTGAAAATCAGCTGACATGTTTTGTTTGTGGTCCTATGATGTATGCTCTTTCATTGATGTATCTTATGCAGTAGCACACTGCCTTGTTGCTATTAGAGCAAGTTTTAACATTGGGTTGTGTGAGTCCTCCTGTATTCTTTTTTAGATTAATCTAGCCATGTCTGTTGCAATTCTACATTAATTTTAGGATCAGCTTCTCAGTGTCTGTAAGTCAACGGCAACTCTGGTACATCTGTCTGAAGATTAATTCTCCTCATCCATGACTATGGGATGTTTATTTAAATTTTCTATTTCTTTACAAAATATTTGTAGTTTTCAGTATGTGAAGTAGCTGGTACAAGCAAGAAACAAATTTCAATGGTTTCATTTTTCCTTATTGATACAGTGTCACAATTTTAAAATAAAATTATATGGAAAAAATATACAAATATCACCACCATTAAAACAATGTTACGGGGCTGGGGATTTAGCTCAGTGGCATAAGCCCTGCCTTGCCAGCAGGCAGTCCTGAGTTCCATCCCCGGTACCGATAAAAAGGAAAAAGACAAAAAAAAAAAAAAAAAACAATGTTACCATTTTGGTTTACATCTCTTCAGACTTTTTCCAATGCACATATGTAAGATATATGGTAACAATAATGACAGAAATCTCAAGTACTAAGTTCCAGATACTATTTTAGGATTTTATGTAGCTAAATTCATTTACTACAGTATCTATGTGAAAAAGGCACTATTATACCCCAATGCAATTTTAAATAAATACAATACTATATGTAGCATCTTTTAGAAATTTAATATATCATGAATATATTCACATTAAAAAAAGATCCAGTCATCTTTTTTGGTTATCTTCACAGCATTTTACAATATGGATATTAGTGGGCATCTAGACTGTCTTTGCAATTGTAGATACCATGCTATCACTAAACATCCTTAAACACTGCCCTTTGTGCTTGACCAATTATCATTTGGGATCAGCTGCCGGAAGAAGTGGAGTTCCTGCTTCAAAGAACATAGATATTTTCAAATGCAATACTATTATTAAGATTTTTGTCTTTCGTATCTTGCATGAGCACAAGTACAGCAATGACTGGTAATATTTTTAATAGCTAATTTGATAAGTAACAAATAAGTATCTCATTATTATTGCTGAGGCCTTGAATCTTCATATGATACAACTTATTTCTTTAGCCAATGTTTCTATTGAACATTTGCATTCTTCTTAATTTGTAATTGTAAATATATTTTATCATTTTACTGCTTATGGTATTTTTGTTACCTTAAAATTTTTTGTTCCCAAGTCTATTAGTTTCTACCTTGTTGTCCTGCTTAAAAAGATTTTTTTATCTCCAAAACATATGCTTATGTTTTTGCACAGTCTTTGTGTGATTTTTTAAAAACATACTGTAAGCATGTAAATTTTTTAATCTGATGAATTTTGCATACAAGGTAAAAACAACCTTATTGTTTTCAAATCTACTTACATCCTTTATTTAATAGCTTCTACTCTGGAAAGCTGTCATTTCCTCTTACTCATTCCTATAACCTCTTTTAAGTATTTTGCTTGCCAGTCAACCATCTGCAGGTATTAATATTAGTGGAGAAAAAACATGTTCTCATTTGGCTGTTTTACTTCTTAAGCACTAAAAGCAAGTGGTTCATCCCTGACTGCCAGTTGGGCTAATTTTCCCTCTAGCAGTTTCTACACTCCTGAAGGACACAACTCCAAAACCCTGTCACAGCAGAATGCTGTTTAATAGTATTGCAGGGCCCTCTGTGACCTATCTAAATCAACAGTAAGTAATCACTATTGGTCAGTTACGTATTTCTCATCCCAGAGTCCACTCTTCTCTAATATCAGACCTAATTACTAAAACACCAGCTTCCTGTAACTGGAATACATGTGGTATTTGAGGGCACAATAAACATTTTAGATTTCTTTATTGTTAGTGTCAGTTACCAGGTATAAACAGAACTAAGATAAAAGGAGGTGAATGGTGATGATATAGGAAATACTCTGTGTATTTTAACATTCTGCTGCAAAAGATATTGTAGAAAACAGATACTTTAGTATTTCACAAAATGCTTATAGTGGGGAATAAACTTACTAAATTTATAAAAGAATTTAAATGTCTATTCAAATCTTTTTTAGAATATATTTTCAGAATTTATCACAATCGAAATGTTATTTCATGGCAAAGCGTTAGAGGTCTACACTGCAGCTTACCAAAATATACAAAAGATTGATGAGGATGAAGATTTAGAGGTAAGATTGTCTATCGAAGCATCATTCTGTTAATTAATGTGAAAACACATGAGAGCATTAATACAAGTAAAAACATCTTTGACATTATAGTGCTTTGTTATTGTGCAATCCTAAATACCTGAACTTTTGTAATTTTTTTCCAGTATTTTCTTTTAAAATTTCAAATTAATCATAAGTCCCAAGAGCTAATTATTTATAGCTAGAAAAATATAATCTACACAAAGCCATTGCATAAAAAAAAAAAAGTATCATTTTGACTGAGTGATATAACCCCACTAAGGTGAGTTAAAAATAATGTTTATTGACTTAAACAACCAAAGCTTCACATGAATTTTCTTAATCCTCACAGGAACCTGTCACAGCAGCACCTACCCTCAAAGGTTCCTGCTGATGCTCTTTGAGAAAAGTAAAAGGCTTAGAGGCTTTAAATGTCTTAGCTGTGACCACTTAGCTAGTAAATACCAGGATTCCAACTGGTTTTGTAACCTGATTGTTATAAAATAGTTTATGCAGGCTTGCTTTGTAGGTAGAATAGGTTTGTAGGTTGGGTTTCTTGTAGATTAAATGCAAGTAAACAGGTTTATGTAGTTTTAGTTAAATGCAAATGTAGGATTATGCAGGCTTGCATTGTGCTAAATTTAAGAGAAGTTAATGCAATTAAGTATCAAAGCCTGGTTTTCAGTAAACCCATCGGAGGTTAATGTCCTACCTTCTTAATCTTCCAAAAGAAAAAAAGATACATGAGTATTTTTGATAAAACAGATAAAATATTTTGTTCATATATTATCTCTAATGTAAAAGTGCAAAAAAAGTTAAAACTCCCAAGTTACAATCAGAATTCTGTGTTAATAAATTTGAGCATGGTGGTGCATGCCTGTAATACTGTACTAGCACTGCAGAAGGCTGAGGCAGAACTGCAAGGGTGATCCTAGGCTAGTCAACTTAGGACGACCTTATTTAAAAGGGAAAAAACAAAAAAGCTAGCTGGATATTTAGTTCAAAGGCCTTGGGTTAAACCCCAGCACTGCACCAAAAATTTAAAAATAAAAATAAAAAAAGATTTTGGGAGTATCTACCACTTGAGTTTTGAAGCCTTCTCCCAATAGACTGCTGCTTCTATCGATAAAGAAATTCTCTGAGCCTTTTTGTCCCAGGGCTCCCCTAGTTCCCTGGAAATGAGAGCTGGAATTTAGCCTAACTAAAACGACGAAAAAGTAATGTCTCAGTACATGTATGTTTTCAATGCCAAATTGTGGTTTGTCAGTCATACATATATATTTTGTCAACAGATGACTGTCACCTTCAAACACTAAAAGCTAAGGTTCTTAATTTTCACTCCTTTTCATATTGTTTAAAAACAGATTATCAAGCTTTTACTTGCCATTTGTAAAATAAATAGCAAATGTTCAGTAACTATTTTGGGCTAATCTACACATTTTAACCATGGTACTGATCAACTTTAATAAAAGTGCTTATGGTCCTCATGTCTAGGATGAGAAAACTGAAGGATACTCAAGAAGTATCTCAAAGGTCTCACAGCTATAGCAGAGCTCAGTTACCTGACTACAATGCTGGTTTCAATCCTTTCTCCATGAGACTAGTAATATTTCTAGGTGAGTGACTTGGCAGGTTCAAAAGTGATCCCCACTCGTCCTACAAACCTGGAGCCTCCTTTACAAGTATTTTTAGTTTCATTCCCTGATAGGTCCTTTGTTAACTGCTACTAAAATTCCTTCAAGCCTTTTGGTCCATAAGATTCTTCTCGTCCAAAGGCCTTAGGTGCCCTTTTTGTCACACCACTACTTTCGTAACTTCTCTTACCATCTGTCTTAATCAGTGACGTAGGTATTTCGCTGGAGGTTAACATCCATGAAAAACTAAAGGTCTCAGGGCTTATGAGGTATATAGTTTTGACATCAAATTCCTATCTGACATTTAAAAAAATATGGTATATCTATGTAAGTTTTATAGCATCAGGCCCATTTTTTTTTAAAACAATTAAGAAGCTTAAAACAATAAGGATGCCTGGCAAATACTTTCAGGCACAGAGCATACTTTTGTGCACAAAAAAAGCAATGTATTTTGTATTTTAAACAAAGTGCAGGGCACAAGCACTTTTCCAGTGAACCACAGGCAACTGAGGAGAGCAGAGCAGAATAGAGTGGTGCAACCAAGAGAAATAAAATTATTTCCAGTAGGTCTCAAGAGGAAATATTCTCTGAGTAAAGAGTCTTTAGAAACAAGTGGAAAAATTTTCAGAGTGAGAACTAATTTGCTATCCTTTCTGTAGTCCATGCTTTATGAGAACCACTGTTACATATTCCAGCAACAGCCAACTTTTTGCAAGGCATTCTAGTTATATTACAAACCATCTTACCTTATTTGTTCTTCACATAAAAAGTATTGTCAGGCCCATTTTCCCCTTCAAAAATCACTTCTGTGCAACCATTTCAGAGAATATTCAGATCTTGACATTCACTCCTAGGAGAGATCTTGAATTATGTTGGAAAAATGTATTATTGCCAATAAAGTAATATTTCTGTAAATCAATTTTGCAGTGAGGTTAATTTTATTAAGTATTTAACTTTTTTATCTAAAGAGTGATACTATTCTCTTATTTCACATGTACTAGAAAATTTTTTAAAATTTGAAATGACAATATATCCATTCAAAATACAAGTTGATTCATGAGCCTGGTATGATTATATAGTTCCTGGACGCCACTGTATTGTCTAGTGTCTAAATAGGACTTGGTTCTCGGTTCTTGGCAACCTACTGACTTTATCATTGGATTGTCTCAAAACTCAAGTCCCACCTTCTGTATGTTCCCTTAGTGTCCTGCAGGTCTCTAAGATTCAAACCAATGTGTAGGACTTTATCCCCACCCCCACCCCCACAATAGGTAGACTGTTCATGTTAACATTCTTTTGGACAAAAGTGAATTAACACCTTCTGCTGGGAAGAATTGCAATGATAAAACAGGGCTTCTTGCATTAGAGGAAACTAAGACTAGTTGCATAAGCACGTATTTCATTAAAAAGTAGTGTAACAACTATCCTTGAGGGTAAGAACAGTAGGAACTACTGGCTATACAACAGGGAAAACAAAAGATGGCATTTGACTTGGTTCTCAAAGGATCAGTAAGTTTGTTGGGACCCCAGGTTGAGGAACCAGCACTGGTACTGTTCAGCATATAAGGTAGAAGAGTGGTAGGTAAGTCTGAGTCTTAGGCATTGGTTGTTTCCTAAACCATCTGAACTCTGATAACCACAAAGTTTTATTTTTGTTTTAACAGAGAAACATTTTGTTCTTTAGTAAGCTATAAAGAAAAGGCTAGGTGTGGTAGCACATGCCTGTAATCCCAGCACTCAGGAGGCTGGGGCAGGGGGATCACTGTGAGTTCCAGGCCAGCCTGAACTACATACTGAACCCTGTCTCAAAAAGGCAAGACAAGTATGTAGTCAGTAAATTAAAACAAGTATCTCAGGTCGTGAACTTTTGGGGAAGATGTGCATGGTTATAGCTTTGGGTAAGACATAAAATAATCTCTTGCTGCATACCATACTCTTCAACCAACCAATACTCTGTATTCTCGAAGAGTACGTATTAAATACTGTAGATAAAAATCTTTCTGGAAAATAGTTTTTTTGTTTAAGTGTACTAAGAGAAACCCTAAAAAATATTTCAGGTATAAACAGTAGAAACAGAGATACAAAGATGTAGGCCAGTCAGCAATGGGACAGTTTAGTGATAGCATAAGAAAAAGAGGTTTAGAGGCCTGGGATGTAGCACAGTGGCAAAGCACCTGCCTGGCAAGCACAGTTTTTTTTTTGTTTGTTTGTTTGTTTTTGTCTTTTTCCTTTTAATTGGTACCAGGGATCGAACTCACGACTGCCTGCTTACAAGGCAGGCGCTTATGCCGCTGAGCTAAACCGCCCCCCCCCCCAGCTTGATTTCTGATCCATGTTTGGGGAAGATAAACACAAGATTTTGTTGATTTTGGCAAGAGCAATTTTAGTGCAACATAGCCCAGTTGTAGTTTGTTGAGAAATGCATGAATTAAAATATCTGGAATTTTAAAAGAAATTACACTTTTGGAATAATTTACTGTGAGCTTTTCTAGTAGAGCGAACTGGTGGAAAATCGAAGTTTTTGTTTGATGCACACAGGGAAGGTCTAGAATGATGCTTGCATTTTTTTGAAGTGATAGGATGGAAGAGAGAAGTTCAAATAAACACAAGCCTAATAACCTTTATTAGTCAAAATGTAAGGGAAAATATAAAAGATAGAAATAGACTTTAGAGACTTTTTTATCAAGGGAACTGGCACAAAGCATAATGAAGTTATGAATTATAGCAGCTCAAATTTACTCTTAGGTGATTTTCCATCTCTAAATTCTCCGACTTACAGTAACTGGAATTTTGTCCTTTTAGAGGGAAGGTTTACTTAAAAATTTTAACCAACAGTTTCTTTTGGCTATACAGATTTACTATCTACCTTATAATGTTCTTTTATTTTGCAATAGGTTTTCCGAAATTCTCTGTATCCACCAGATTATCCGTCGCGTTTAGATATTGTAAAAGCAAATTCAAAGTCACCTCTTCAGAGATCACTGTCAGCTAAGGGTATATCTGGAACAGGACAGGTAAGCTAAAAACGTAACTTAGGAATCTGAGCTGCTACTTTTGGAATTGTTCAGTACAGTTCAAATGTTTGCTTTCAGTCATAGGATCTCATAACTTACACTTGTTAGGTCTTCTTTCTCTTCTGAAAAATGATTGGAAGTTGATGCCATAATCACCTACTACTACTTTAAGCAAAACACTTGAAAGCAGTAGAAGACAAAATGCTAATGTAACATTACTATCTTAAAATAATATATTTTAAAAAATCATTTATATTATAGTCATGGGTCCAGGAGTACAGCTTTTTCTTTAATCTTCTCATTTCTTCTATAGCCTAAGGCAGGCTAAAATGCAGCATGCCAAACTCTAACCCAGACCTTTTCATATCTAGCCTTCAGAATTTAAAAATCATCAAAATATAATTTTTAAGTTCTTATAATTTTTAAGTTCTGATTCTCTTGTATTCATTTAAGTGCCACAAATTTAGTATTACAATACATACAAAATTTAACTGTTTAGAACTAAATACTACCTAAATTAGCTAACATTTGCATACCATTTTAGAATAAATTACATAGGTTTTTTCAACTTGTTGAATTGGGACCAGGGCCCTGGGGGACGTGAATGTGCTGTCCTGTATAGCACTGAGCAGCATCCCTAGCTTCTACAAACACACACACACAAACCCAACTATGACAACCACCAGGATTTCCAGACATTATCAAATGTCTCCTTAAGAGTATACCTTACAAAGAGTTGTATCCTTAAGTTTTAAGCAAAATGCCCCAAATACATAGGACAGAGCTGGTGGAATTGATTTTAACTCATTCCACTTAAAGACTACTTTTATGTCAGTATTTCTGTCCTATGGCTTAGCTGAAATATGTTCCATTTTTGCCAGTCATCAAACACTGTCTTTGCAACCAAAAAAATTAATTTTTAATATTCATGATATACTGAGACCATTATTTTGTTACTGAAGTTTTAGCACCTAGCTAACTGGAATCACATAGTTAATTTTACCACATAGTTAATTTTACATGTATGATAAATGAATGCAAAAGTTTGCAACCTTAAAATAATTATCCTTAGGGAATTTTCATTATTACAGATTACATATGGACATTTTTCTCTGATCTGCCTTTTCCTATAAAGATACAAAAAGAAGATACCAAGCATGTAAAAATATTTTTAAGTTAGTATTTTTTATTTTTAAAAATGTATAAATTTTTAACAGGTATCTACCTGTCGATTAAGAAAGGATCAACATGCAGAAGATGATGATGATGAAGAGGTAGACTTTACAGAAGAAGAAAATTAATTTTAAGTTAATTTTCACATGTCATTTAATTCTACTCACTTGATAAACAAAAAATGAAATCCTACCATAAACATAAAAATAAATTCATGCTGACAAAAAATTAAGGTTATAAAAAATAATTTCAATATCTTCTCTAATGGTATATGTTTTTTTATGTAAGTTCCATTTTTTAAGAAGATTTTATATTTTAAAGCATTTCATAATGCACTGTACTTTGTTCAGTTGCAACAATAAGGGACTAAAAATGAAAGATTTAATAATTCCTCTTAGCTTCTTCAACATTAAGACTCCATGTTTTGAACATCAGAAAAGGTCTGATTACATACAAATTTTATTCCATGAAACTTAACTTTTGTACCTTTAACTTCAGTGACTGTATTCAAATAAAGGAAATGAGGCATTATATCAGGTGTTATAAATATGAAGCTTAAATTTTAAGCTTTAAAAAAGCCACATTCAACTTGACATTGGTTTTAAAACAAAACTGCTATCATACTGTCACTATATGGTAAATTAGAAAGCTAGTAATTTGTTGGAATGTTGCCTCATTATGTTTCAAAGATAAATTATTAAAAGCTAAAAATCTGTCCAACCTATCATCTAGATATAAGAGTATATAGTTACTCTTATTCCTAATGATACAAGCCAATTTAATCAAACTTTTCAATGTATTTGCTGCTTTTGTTTCTTCTGGTGAGGAATTAATACTTCTGTGACTTCATGGATCCCACTCAAGATACAGAAAAACTGGAATTTATAGTCATTTGGGAAAACTGGAAAAAGCAATTACTGTATTCACAACAGGAAAAATAAACTTTCTAGAAAGTATTTTGACTTGTCATTCATGGTTCTGTTTTTAACAAAGTATTGCTTCCTGAGAAGAGTGCTGATAATTTTATAAAATACTCAAAACATTTTAAAACTTTAAATAAGTTGCCACTTTAAGAAACTGGTTTTTACTTTCTCAGTATTTAAACCTGGTGTTGAAGTTCAGAGGAAAACAAACCATCGTTATAGTATTTTTCTTGCTGCTTAGCAGTTGCCTCATCTGTAAGGTTAAAACAGTACCTAAAACAATCAATAGATAATCTGCAATGAAACATATTTTTCCTACCTCAAAGAAGTACCCTATTGACCAAAGAAACACTACCAATAAGAATTATTTTCATCAGTGTAAAACTTTCATTATTTAGAACAGACTTTGGGTTGACATATACTTTGTAGCCCAGGAGTTAAGATGATTATTATTATTAGCCCATAAATTAAGATTATTGGGCCAGGGATTTAGCTTAGTGGCATAAGAGCCTGCCTGGCAAGCACGAGTTTGTGAGTTTCATCCCCAGTACCAAAAAAAAAGATTATTATTATTATGTAACCATTTAAAAGATGTTATCACATTTTGAAACATGAAAACCCACTCCTTAGCTTCCCTGCTGAAAAAAACAGTTCTTATCTCAAATTTCTTATCTCAAAAATAGGAGTAAAATTAGGATTATCAACATTAAGTGATAATTCATACATTAGACCATAAAAATAAAAGTAATATCTATACACAATAAACAATATTTAAAGCAAAGGCAGAGGCAACGGGGTTACTACTTAGCAGTATCACACTTGGTACCTATTTTTAATATTCTTCATAAACTGATAAAATCCACTTGTCTTTCACTGACAGTTATCTCTTGATTATGAATTAAGCTTACTAGTATTTTTCAGGTACCTTCTAAAAATGTTTGAATTTAGGACAATATGCCATTTGGCACAAAGCTAAAGAATAATATACTTCCATATCTGCAGGTAAAAGAAAAACTTGCAAGATGAAAAACTTACGAGATTATCAGTTATATAAGCCACATGAGGATTTAGAACATTTCTCTTTTATGTGTTTAAAAATGTATATGCTAGTAAACTGATTCTGAGTTGATGAAGGAAAGAAAATGCCCTATTGCGCTGCATTTACAATTTGCATGGTATGTAGACACCTACCATGATCAATTTATCATCACTGAATGAGAAATGGCTTCCAACCAGCAGAAGCCAGATTACTATAAGAAAGTTTTTAAACAAAGTTAAAAGGTATTAAGTCCTAAGATATTTTGAAATACAATATTCATGTCATTTAATTTTAAAGTCAAAACACAAAACTTGTGCTGACCACAGATGGCCTCTTATCTATACTATCTTAACCCAGTCTGGAAGCAATCACCCACTTTAAATTATCTATTACTTTAAGCTTCATCTTATCTTTATTGCTATGAACAGTATCTGAAAAGTATTGTTTTGAATCTTCCATCCATGTCTCAAAGTTCCACTAAACAATTATCCTGTAATCTTAAAGCAACTACAAATACCATCTCTTGCTAACTGCCACCCCTCCTTAATCTGCCCTGTAACTTCTACGTTAAGGTATACATTTGTTTTTCCTATTATACTTATTTTTAAGTTTTTACTCAGCTTAAACTCTGCAGAGCCAGTTTCTCCCTTACTTTTAGCTCTTTAAAATTTTCTACCTTGAGTAATGTGAAGCAGTTAAAAAAAATGTTACTTTGTTCACTGTGCTTTGTTTAGATATTGCAAAACTTATATTCTCCTGCTTTAAGTTTACTGTTGTAAACAGCCATACTGAGGTACTTTTTAGAACCAAAATACACTATTTTACTCATTCTACTAAATGAGGATGCTGACTATAAAAAAAAGTTAAGTGGGCTTCTCTCAGATTTCTTTAAACCACTTAAAATTAAGATATTTACAGGTACTAAGTACCAAAAAAGTATATTACTTCAGCAATATCCTATTATTAAATGACTGAATTATCAAATACAAATTCTATTTTAAGCCAGACACGGTAGTGCAAACCTATAATCCCAGCACTCTGGGAGGCTAAGGAAAAACAATCACGAATTTAAGCCAAGTCTGAGCAAATTAACAAGATCCCCACCTCAAACACGAAAAAATAAAAATCTGTTTTACACTTATTTACTCAATGTGGGACATCTCTGGATCAAAGAATTAAGGAACAAACATGTTCTATACAAACTATAAAAGGCCAAAGTCAAACCATGTTGGATACAATGAACAACTGAATTAGAAGCTAATATGTAATGTGTCCCAAGAGAAACCTTAAAAGTCACTTTGTCTTATGACAGTTTGAGCACCCTAGTTGCATCTTTTTCAAGACAGATTTAAAATGAGAATGAAGAAAACATCACTTACCCTTGAAAATATTTTGAGCATGGTCTTCACTGAAACCAGCATATAAACAAAATTAGGCAACAAAAGTATCAAGAGCATGATCATGAGGCAGTGGAATGTCTGGGTTGAAACTGCCCCCAAACTGTGACTTCAGTCCAAGTTTCTTCACTTCTCTAAACATTATCTCATTTGTGAAACAGAAGTTAAAATGTCCTTTATTACTAAGAAAATACTGAGATCAGTATATGAAGCACTTATAGGACCTACATGGTGTGCCTCATAAATCTGAGCCATTTGTATGATTAAAGAAAGGTTTCCAATATTTGCAGAATATCTACAGTAAGTATTAAATATCACTAGAGTAAAAATTCAACCACACAAGTCTTATACTTCATATTTGAATAAAAGTTTTGATGTTAAAATGTCCTAAGGACATAGTAAGAAACATACAAGTTATAGGACTCATCAGTAAACAACTCCTAGAAAAACAAACTATATCCATTTTGTCACATTCTTCCCAGCATAAGTCTGAGTATCCCTTCACCCATAATTGCATTCCTACTGTTTTGAATATTTTGTATTAATCTTATCTGGTTACTAAAATGTTAAAGAACCCATGCAACTATACATTAACAGAATGGTCCTTCCCATCATAAATTCAGCTTAATGCACTGTTGAAAACTTTATACCCAGCTCCCATTTTTTTCTTTTTATACAAATACAAGTTAATTAGTCTATTCAGTTGCAATTTTTATTTTTATAGAATTTTGCCAGGTTATAAACATGGAAACTAAATGGACTATAATTAACAGGTGATCTTAACACAGTAATATCTCAGACAAGAGGGCATTAATTCTGCAGGCAGGTAGCAATGAAAATGCCAAACCTAACAATCAGCCACTGACCATTTCCTTATACAGTTTGTGTAAAAGGCATTGACCACAGGAAAAAAAATGAATATAAAATGTATCTTCCCTAAATACAAACTTTGAGGTTTACACGTAACAGCAACAAAAATTGAGGAACTCAGGGAATTAGTTCCTGCTGTCCTAACAAAGAAAAATACAGCATATGTAATTTTAAATTAGGAAAAAAAAAAAAAATGAATGGTAATTTGCAAGCAAAAGTCAAATTCACATTCTATTTACAGTTTTTCTATTCACAGGTCAAAATCAAAATGTTTCAAAATAACACTTTTTAAAAATGCATTTTACTGCATCAATACTGTGGGATAGTAACTGAACTTAGAAATGCTTTCTAAAGCAAAATTAGCTTAACCTTCCGGGGACCAACTGGCCTATCATTAAGATCTTTAATAGCAGCCATAGCTTCATTATAGTTGATCATAGCAACAATGGCTTCTCCTGTCGGTAAACCTTGCTCATTATATTGTATTGAAACTGAATCAGGTATGATTCTATATCCATGGAAGAAGTCTAAAATTTCATTTACATTTGCTTTAAATGGAAGATTCATTATCTTAACAGGAGTTACTCTACCTGAACCACAATTTAATTTGGGATCAGGCATAAATCTACCTTCAGGAAAACCTCCCATATTACGCTTTCCAAAATCAAACTTGCCACCGTCAGGGCGACCAAAATTCACAAAAGGGCGATGACTCCTAAAATCCCCAGGTGGGCTCCTAAAATCCTCACCAGAAGGTCGGAAATTGTCAGGAAGTCTAAGGTCCTCCTCTGGAACTTCTCTGAGGTCTTCCTCAGGGAGCTGCCTGAAGTCCTCATCAGAAGGGCATCTAAAATCTTCTTCCTGGGGGCTCCTGAAGTCCTCATCAGGAGGGTGCCTAAAGTCTTCATCCGGGGGGCCCCGGAAGTCATCATCTGGCATATTCCTGAAATCATCCTCTCGGGAACGCCGGAAATGCTCCTGGGGTGGTCGCCGGAAATGCTCCTGGGGTGGACGCCGGAAGTGTTCCGGGGGTGGCCGCCGGAAGTGCTCCGGGGGTGGCTGCCGGAAGTGCTCAGGAGGTGGCCTCCTGAAATGTTCCGAAGGTGGTCTCCGGAAGTGCTCCTGGGGTGGCCGTTTTAAATGCTCCAGGGGTGACCGCCTGAAGTCCTCTTCAGGTGAATGCCTGAAATCCTCCTGGGGGGGCTTCCTGAAGTCCTCCTCCCGAGGGTGCCTGAAGTCATCATCTGGAGGGCCCCTGAAGTCCTCCTTCCAAGGTCGCCTAAACTCCTCCTCTGGTGGCCGTCTGAAATCTCCCTCAAGGGACCTCCTGAAGTCCTCCTCAGGGGGCTGCCTGAAATCCTCCTCCAGTGGCCACCTCCAGTCATCAAGAGGTCGTCTCCAGTCTTCCTCCCGAGGGCGCCTGAAGTCTTCCTCAGAAGGCCTTCTGAAGTGCTTCTCCCGAGGGTGCCTAAAGTTCTCCGGTGATCGCCTGAAGTCCTCCGGAGGGAACCTGAAGTCCTCTGGAGAGTGCCTGAAGTCTTCTGGAGGGCGTCTATCCGGCTGTCGGAAATATCCCTGGGGATGCTTGAAGTTATTCTGTTGCCTCAAATCCTCTATCTGGTATCTGAGGTCTTCGGAAGAGCCAACTGAGTAAACTGATAGGTCTTTTGAGTCAAATAAATGGGAATGGTCATCTCTATCATGTGACTGAGAACGGGCTTGCATTTTCTCAGTAGACATCAAGGGGAAATTTACACCAAATTCCTGCATCTGTGCTTCAGATATAAGTCTTAATAATACCTCTGTGCCTAAGAATCTCCGTCGGTTTAAACGTTCAGCTTTCGTGGCCTGTTCTTCTGATTTAAACTTGACCAATGCTTCTCCCAGACCAACTCCTTTGTCATCATAAAGTAGGTAAATGTCATCCTCAGCAAGAGAAAAGTCTGCAAAGAATTTTTGTACTTCAACTTTTGTAACATCAAATGGAAAATTTCTTATATATATGCACAGCTTCTGGCCAGAGTAGCCTTCTTGGGAGTATTTTTGTGAAACATGTCCAGATCTCTCTTTCTCTATGGACCCCGGTCTCTTCTTTTCATAACTTTCAATGAACTTCAGCATCTGTTTTTTAGAAACCGGATCAACATGAACTGGACGATGTTGTAAAATAGTCTTATGGAAACCTAAAGCTGTTTTATAGTCTTTCTGAGTCTTGAAAGTCACAAAGGCATACCTTGTTCTTTTTTCATCTTTATATAAAAACCTAATCTGTTCATTAGTCAGATCAATATCTCTAAAGAAATTTCTTAAATCTCTTTTGCTAACATTTAGGGACAGATTTTTTAAGTGAACATAAAATCCAACAGGGGAACGAGAACGTGTTCTTCTAGGAGACTTTGAATGAGACCGTTTTCGAAAATGTCTGTCATTAACTCCTCTTGGAGGAGAATGTCCTTCAGTTCTCATAGGAATTTCACCCTTTTCAATTGCATCTCCACCAAACTCAATCCACTGTCGTTCTGAGCCCTGCATTACTTCTATAAATCTTGAACCCATAAAACTTCTATGGCATTTAAGACCTCCTGAAGCATCAATACATGAAGCAAATTTTACTATGGCATCACCATTATTTCGGCCATCATGATGTTTTAAGAAAATTACTCCATCCACACACAAACCCGAAAAAAAGACACGTACATCATCTTCATTTACTAAGTAAGGCAAACCTCGTAGAAATAAATAAGGATTCTCGGCCTTCGACGGCCTTGTCTTTCTCGGCCTTAAATCATCAAGTCCTGTACCATTAGTATGAAACCCAGCATCTTGGTTAATTGAAGAGCCATATCCAGAATTATTTTCATCTTCTTTCATGGCCTCAATATAATTAGATAAGTTGCCAACCCCTGATGCCCCAGATCCAGGTCGCCCTCTTTCTATGCGATCAGTTCTTTTCATTTCGATAGTCTTCTGCATTTCTGCCTTGCTACTAAGAAAAAGCTCCACCGATGAATCCTTGATAAACCCTCCTGAGCGACATATGGCACGTCTTGCATCTTCATCTGTTGCAAAAATAATAAAAGCCTCCCCAATATCCCCTCCAATTATATGCACTCCTCCATCAGGAATAGTCAATCCCGTGAAGAAGTGACGAATATCCACAGGCCCCGCAATAAAAGGAAGCCCCAGTAAACGGATGACTACAGCCATGCTGAGCTCAAACCACAGCAATAATGACCTGCAGACAAAAAGGTACACATAATAGCAAGTCTTATTTTTAAAGTACCTTAGCCCAAAATAAGCTTAATAATTATCTGGGTTCCTGTTTCCTTCACCATTTATAAATGAAAACAAGATACAAGTTCACAAAAACAATGATCTTAAGATATCTAAGTCTTAAAGAAAACAAAGAATAAACTTTCTCCCAACTAAACATACAAATAAACCAACTACCTTGAAAAAATTTCTTATCACCCATCCTCTACAATAAGAAACGTCAAAAATATCAAATCTTCCTTTTTAAGTCTGCCAAACGTTGCTTCACAACAAAACCAAACTACTTTCAGACTCATTTAAAACATGTATCCTACTGAAATGTGGGATTTATGTCTTTTACCATCCATAGTAAAATTTACAAATTTAGAAAAGCCATCTACAGTCATTACATAATTTCTGCTCATGATATTAAGTCACCTATCACCAGTGTTATTGCTGGCCAGACATAAAGGACAAATGCCATGAGTACCAGGATATACTAATCCATATGATTTTCATCAAGCCTCTGTGAAAAGCCTTAAGCTCTGAATGTCTTACCTTTTCTTTTTATTTCTTGGAGACCTGTTAATTCTGTAAAAGCAACTTAACTGTGGAAAGAAAATGAAATATAATTAATCTTTGAACCCTATAATTATCTCAATACTCGATTAGGATATTCATTTCAGAATTACCTTTCAGAATTACCTATCAAAAATGAAGCAATAAGAGCCACAATTACGGGCATTATAAAACACTCTTCTTTGTTCCAAAGGGAAATTCATTATCCTTCTACAAGAAAGTACAAAATCCAACAGGACATCTGCAAAGTATTAATAAATTTCACAAGTGCTGAAATGATACTACTCCCTTATTGGTAGTAGTATGAAGAAAGGCATGGGAAAATGTACTCTGAGTGCAGTGGTAGAATGCATAAAATGAGCATAAATTTATCAAAGCTCACTGAATTCTCTTAAGGTCTATGCATTTTGTGTATGTATTGAAGTTTTATACCCTCTTTAAAAAAGTTCCAAAAAAAAATAGTTCCATGACTAAATACCAATTTAAAAACATCGAGTTTAAAAAAAAAAGACCTTCCATCACTTCCCTCCATGAAAATACATACAGCTACTTCGTATTTACACCCAACTCTTGCCAGGTTTTTCCCTTTCAAAATATAAGACCACATCAAATTAATAAAGCAACCATTCAAAATGACATGACAAAATATCTAGTTTTGCAATTCCAGTATCTAAAAATTCCAATCTTTAAAGCAGTAAATCCAAGCCAGTGACTACCATTTGAATTCAATTTTAAATTCTCAATATTCCCAACACAGAATCGAATTTCATGTCTCTAGTACAATTAAACCAAACACTACAATTCCCCAAAACTCAAATCTCAACACCACTATTTATCTGATACTCTCAAAACAATAATTCATCTCAAGCAAAACACAGAATACCAAGATAGACTTATAATGCCAAGACTCTTATGATGCCCAAAGTCTATTTCACTTCAAACAACTATGTTGCACTCAACTGAAGAAACCCAAATAACAATGCAGAGAAGTAAAAAGTTAAAATTTATCAATATGGAATATTGGGATTATCAATATTAAGTACTGAAAACCTCAATTTAGTATTTTTTAAGGAAATTTGCATCTAAATACTTTCATGGATACCCAAACAAACAATATTTAAGGAAGTCTTACCAAACAAAATCTGTCAAAATAATTAGTATGTTTTTAGTGTACAAATAAATGAGCTTTTGTTCACCACTTACACCTAAGTACCACTGTTCTACAAAGTGGGGTCTGAAGACATACTCCTCGAGGCTTGAAAGTTTGTTTTCCTTAGAAAGAGTCCGTTGATTCAACTAAAAGCTAAGCCAGCAAGAGCATCAAAAAATTACTTGGCACATCCGACATCCAAAATATCCTGCACACTACCAAAAAAAAAAAAAAACACTGTTTAAGCCTAATTTTTACATGAATCAATACCCACACCTAACACATCAACAAAAACTACAACTGGCTCCTGGAATACTTGTACATTTTAAAATTCCAAGAGTCCTATGTTTTTCACCTTTAAAATATCTAAGCAGCATTAAAGAGAAATGGCACTTTGTTATAAACTTACTTAAAAGGTATTTACCCTGAGAACATAAGCTAATCTACAAGCAAAGCAAAATGGAGAAATGTTTCAAGGAATAGTTAATTATGTCAAATTAAAAAAAAAAAAAAAACCTCTAGAAACATATCCTAACAAAAACTAAGTTATCAAGAGCAAAAATCTCATGAATTCAAAGTTAAGCAATTTAAAAAGGTAAATACAATTAATGCATAAACTTCTTGCCCTTTGATGGTAATGCATCACCCTCTACAATCACATCCAGAATAGCTTAACTTTCAAACTGAGTAGGTACTTCTACAGTTGCAATATGCTGTTTCCTCAAGCAAATCCTCCAGAAATTAAGATTCTTTGAACACACTACATTGCACTGAAAACACACAACATACAAAAGCAAATCCCTCTCCTTAAATTTTTTCTATTTATGAATCTATTTTTTTCACGCTGTGTAGGTTTAAGAACACAGTGGCCTTTTAGAACTATTAAAAAAACGAAATGGATCCCTAAAAACTCAGCTAAAGGTATGCACATTTAAATTCACTGTGGGGTCTCTATCCAGTGATCACCGCCCACATAATCACCGTTCTAACTAAACAATACGAACTGTGCATCTTCTAATCAAGACTGAGAGGAAAACAAGGGAGAAAGTCTGATTTTAAGTTATCTCAGATTCGTTGGACTTAGCTGGTAAAGTTATTTGCCAGAAACTGCGATTCTACGTCTTGAAACCCAAAGTTATGATGAAGCAGGTTCAAATTCTAAGTGTGAACTGCCCCTGCAAAAAATAACCTACCACAGTCCAAAATTATTCTGATGATCTACCCGTTAGAACACAGATGGTTAAAACAAAAATCAAAGGCAAAATGAAGATGAATCCACACGGCACAGGATTTCCGTTCACATCCATCATCGTCAAACGGGAATCATCCGAAGGCATCGATTCTACAGCCCAAAGCCTTTGTCCACTCCCAGGGGTCACAGCTTCTTTCTTTTGCGCCAGGCCGAAGTTGCTACGTGGGATCCGATGCTGTCGCCAGACCTTCGGCCAAAATCAGCCTTCCGATTAACCAGAACCGCCCAACCTCCTGCCTCTCTGTTGCGCCGTCCCAAGGGCAAACACTGCACCCTGACTCTCCAGACCGTCAGCTGGCCCCGGATCTAACTGAATCGATTTCGCCCTTCTGAAGCCTAACGATCCGGGCCTCCTGCAGACACGGACTACGATGACATAGCAAAGAAAAACAATACCTAGGAAATCCTTCGGGCTCTTCACTGTCAAGATCACGGGGAAGTGCACACACACCACCACATGGAGGCTGACGGAAGAGGGAGAGTCGGTGTTTAGCAGGGAAACAGGGCGCTTAACGGCAGCAGCAGCAGCCGCGACGCCGGAGGCTGAACGGCCGCCGGCCCCGCCTTTCCCCGTCCTTCCGCCCCTGTCGCCAGCCCCTCCCCGCCCCGACGCCCCAAGGGAAACTGCTTCGCTCTTGGCAATCGACACAAACCGCTGCTCGGACACCAAGCCGGGGGCTGGGGCGCTCCTCGTTGCTGCACCGCCAGAGGCTGTAGCGAACCTAGAGGAAGATGGCGCCCACCCGCCCCTCCCGTCCGGACAAACGGACCTACTGTTTGTCTGCCCATGCGCTCTCCCAGCGTAACCCACTACCACCCGCGCTTCGGCCGCGCTTGCGCACCCAGCCTCGCCCGCGGCCTGTTGTAAGCGGTGGGGCGGAGGGAGGACGCTCTGGATTGGCTGAGCTTCTGCGCGTGCCCAGATACCAGCCAACCAGGGAACCTCGACATAGAGGTGAGCTTCATAGGCCAAATTAGGAGTCAACTGGTTGTTGTAATTAAAATCACCAGTTCGTAACTGTTAAAATGCACAAAACAAACTTTGCATTTATCAGAAATTAAAGAACGAGATGAAAAAAATAAGGAGATTTCTTTGTCTTTCAGTGCTGTAATCACTATGGAAAGTAAGCATCTTCTGATTCTTGAAAACTAAAAGACCATGACGTGGTTAATTTTACTGACTTTGATGTTCATCTGGCACGATGTCGTCACCTGGGAGCTTAATAAATCTATGTTTGTCAGTCTTACAGATATTAATAACCTTGTCAATTACCTTCATAAATTTGTGGTTCCCATCTTCCAGACTTTTGAAACAAGAGAACAGATGGACCAGTTCTGAAAACTGAGAAATGAAAAGCATAATTACAGGCACGTGCTGTGATAAGTGCTACCTAATGGCAGGTGAACAATATTATGTTTAGTTTTATTATTTACAAGTAACGAAGCAGCCTACCATCTTGAGCTCACATGGTGCAATTATGTATGGACCCAAACTCACCAGAAACTACTTTTGGACGTTATCATAGAAAAGGAGAGAGGCAGGGGAAGAGCTTGTTGTGTCCTTCATTCACTGCAAAATACTGATTCTTAACTATAATGTGACTGTCAGAAGAGGTAGTTTAACGAGGGAATTAAAAAGAAAGAAAAGATGGTACTCAAAGTTAGGACCATCTTTTTTACTCTTTTGGGCAGTGACAGCCTCTCTGTGCCTCAGTTTCTTCACCTGAAATGGGAATGGTAACACCCACCTGTTAAGGTCGTGAGAATGTAAATGATTTAAATACCTAAAACTTTTAGTAACTTGTTTTAAACATCAGGGTAACTCTTAGAGAATCGGAGGATGTTACCTGTGGGTCCAGGTTTCCTTGACTGGCTATGATTTACCTTGCTAATCCAAAGAGTCATCCTTGCCTTGCAGGCTGAGGAACCTAGCCTAAAAAGCTAACATTTATTGGGAATTTACTATGTGCCAAGTTTTGTACATTATTTTAGTCTTATGACTATTTTTCCTATATTACAAATAAGGAAAACCAATGTATAGAGGATTACATAGCTTGCCTAAGGTCACATAAATACTATAGTACAAGACAAATATTGGATTGAACCCTCATGGTTTGCTTCCAGATATCACTACTCTGTATTACACAGAAAGAAGATTCTGAGCCACAAGGCAAATTCCCTTTCAACAAATATGCATAACGGTACTGCACGATATCAGTGTTATTATTATTCATGCTTAGGAAGAAACACTAGCAAATGAGATCAGTTGAGGCTGAACAACACTTTCCTGGTGGTCTGTGGGTTTTTTGTTTGTTTTGTTTTCTGTTTTTTGCAGCAAGGTCTCCATATATAGTTCAGGCTGGCCTTGAACTCACTATATAGCTCAGGATGGCCTGGAATTCCAGCCATCCCCCTGCCTCAGTCTCCCAGGTTCTAGGATTACAGGTGTATCCCACCAAAACCTGATTATGCAGTCTGAATTATGCACCACCTGTGTATGCAGTCTGAAGCCAAATTATCAGAGTTGTTTGCTAAGCATGGAAATGGAACATGAGTATTACCTAAACTCAAAAAGTGTAGTCATTTTCATTCATCCTAACAAAAATAACAGCTATAATTTAATAAGCTCAGATAAGTCCCTGTCCCTTGACAACATCACTCATGGCCTCCCTCATTATTCGACCAGCCACACTCTTTCTGGTCACAGAGACTTTCTCCACACAGGACACTCTAATGAAAGTCTTTTTAGTGTGCTCCTTGCCTTTCTCAGATGTCCATACCATTATAGTAAAAAAAAACCAGATCAAGGTAATTTAGAATAAAACCACATAATATTCTGGTTATTGAATGGTTTGTGTACATTTAGTGTGTTGGCATCAAAATCTAACCAGTTTTGAGAAAATAGAACAAATTGTTTCTGAAAAAGTACAATAGCCCTGAAATGATCACCTGGATCTATGACCATTCTGTGGCTTTGTCTGAACAAGGTAGATAGCTTCCCAGATGTTTTCCCATAACTGCTGTACTACCCACCCTAGTGAGTGCTTTTAGTGTCAGACAGTTTTCAAGTACCATCCGCAGTCTTTCAGCAGCTACAAGAACAGACTTTGCTCTCTTTGTCTCAGGTTTTTAAAAGTTTCCACATTTCCCTAGGATACTTTCTAAAGTTTATATTACTCCCTCTTTTAAAATCTTAAACCTGAACTATGGTGGACAAATACAAGCATTCAAAAGCCTTCATTTTTATTCCAACCTCTTCTTTTGTCTCATCAGGGACATTGACATACATGTCATTCACCAATGTGCCTGCTTTCTCATGCTGTTGGCATTTTCCAGCTGCTTCTTCTGCCTGTATTGTCCTGTGATATTTCCTCCTATGTGATCTCCATTGATCTTCCAGTTAGTTCTATGGGCTCCACTAGTCCATACATATTTTAATGATCCATTTCTGTATCCGTTTCTCTATTACACTGTGAGACCCAGAGGGAAAAGCACTCTTCTTTTGGACAACTCTTTATCTCATTGAAATGCTAAATAAATGGCTCAAAAATTATTGAACTCCCAGACCAAAAAAAAAAAAAAAAAAAAAAATGAACTACTCTCTGAGCAGTTTCCAGGTAATGAGGCCTCTCAATTCAGTTTGGAGATTCTAAATACAGCAGCCAATGAGACAGCCTCAGATTTCTGTTCCCAACCGCTTTGTCAAGCACTAGACCTATAAGCTCATTTATGCTATACTTGCCTATCTTAGTAGGAAATCGAACTATACTTATCTCCTCAAAATGCTCATCTCTAACCTCGGCCTTCCCTGCTCCTCTCTGTTATCTGCTCCCACTCCAACATAATTTAGTCTTGCAGGCAAGACAGACTTAACTACCAGTTTTTAATCACCAAATGATTTTCTTTCCAATTATTCACTATATTCTAGAAATACCTCCTAAATTTATCCATATTATTTACTAAAAAACTGATCTTGTTTGACTTCTCTGAATTTCCATTCTGCTCTCTATTTATCAGATGCTAAGAATTATTTTTCCCCTGAAAAGGTCCTCTTCCCATTCTTTGTGACAGTCCTTGACATCTTTCAACTCCAGACAAAAATAAATTATTCCTCTTTATTTTTAATCTCTCCTATTGATCATTTCCTCTTTACTTACAGATATCTTACCTCTTATTCCTAAGAAAATTTAAATTATTTTGGTCATCCACTCTTTTATTTTCCTTTCAAGGCCAAACTTCTCAATATAGTTTTTAATCTATCTGGTGCCTACTTTTTCTCACTATTGCTGTATGATGTTTTTCTACCATAACCACTGTGATGAGATTACACTCCAAAAGGTAACTAATGACTATCTATTTGCCAAATCCAAAGATCTTTTCCCCATTTTCAGCCTTCTGCCTGTCCCCCTAACCCTTTGCAGCATTTATATGTAGTACTATAGCAGTCTCTACAGCTAAAGAGATAAATTTCAAAGTTTGCTTCTGCAAATTTCTAGCTGAGGGTTTAGGTAGGGGGTGTGTGTGTGTGTGTGTGTGTGTGTGTGTGTGTGAAGACCAAATCCTTGCCTCTGCTTAATTATCTATAGAAAGAAGATGATAATAACAGTGCATATTTCAGAAGCTTGTTTAGTAGAGTCTCCAAATCTCTCCTCTCTTTGTTTCATATCTTAACTGAATAATATTGGACATTTCTAAGCTTGATAAATACAAATAATCATATTCTCTAGTCATAAAGTTGTTGACAATATTGAAACTGTATGTAAGAAGTCTACCACCGTAGATGGCATAAGGAATTTGCTTTCTTGATTAAGAAAATGAAGGACACATTTGTGGTTCAGTTCCTTTCCTTTTTGTTTGAAATCTGAATGGTGACATCTGGTGTAAGGCAATCATACTACAATGAGAAAGAAGAGCCACAAGAACCGCAGAGATGACTGCCTCCTATCACTGAACAAACATCAACAGCCCCCAGATTTAAGTTTGCTTGTGCTTAAACTGCTATGAACTGCTTCAAATACCTAGACTTTGCTTATTTTCAAAAAAAATCTTTAATGATATTATCTCAACAACTTTAGTTAACAATCTTTTCTGCTGTCTTTGTAGGCACGTTACACAAATGAACCTACAGTTATCTCAAACTTAACCATATTTGTTTATTTGTGGTCTTTCTACTATAAATAAAGTCTCCAGATCCTGGGGCCACTTTTGTAGTCCCTACTAAGATAGGGAAGTATAGCATAAATGAGCTTATAGGTCTAGTGCTTGACAAAGAGGTTGATGTCCAGAGGCCCTAGACAATTAAAATAAGTATGTAACCTATAATTCACTAAAGAAGTACACTTGTAGAATGTTAAAATTTTAAAATAAGTAACCTATATTTCACTAAAGAAGTGAACTTGTAGATTATGTCAAAATTTTTGTATTTCTATTAGGAGCTACCTACTATAGTGAAATATGAAAAGTTTTAAAGTTGGCCAGAATAAGATACATTCTGGTTGCCTTACTTCCTAACATTTAATTTTTTAAATATTCTCTTATTTTTCTAAATGAAGGATAAGACTTCCTCAAAACATTGTTTCTTTTTTTTTTTTTTTTTTTGTCTTTTTCCTTTTTATTGGTACCGGGGATCGAACTCACGACTGCCTGCTTGCAAGGCAGGTGCTTACACTGCTGAGCTAAATCCCCAGCCCCCAAAACATTGTTATGAAGAGTTAAGATTAATGTTGCCAAGCACCTAGCACAGTGATGCGTGGGACATACACAGCATACACACACCATCATGAATGTGAACTCTTTTTATTGCTTTTAATTAAATATTAGGCAGTAAGTAAATATATTGTCCTGATCCTTGCCTTAGAGTATATAATGGTATAACATTTTATCAAAGAAGACTACAGTTAAAACTTATCTGTATGAAGCTTTTAAAGATTAATCCCAGCTATTCTAGCCATATCTTTTCTTAGTTTTCATTAAATTTATATGGTCATTTTAAAAAATCCATAATGATAATTGAAACACTAATTACTCAAAAACTTTTTTACAATTTATTTTTTAAGAATAACTTTCAGAAAATACACCTGCTGTGTCATAGGTACTGGTGACTGAGTAAATGTTGGTCTTCTGAGCAAGGACTAATAGTACCTATTAGTTAAATTTATTGCATTGAGAATGTGTACTCCTTAACAATAAAAAATAACATTATTGCAAAATTTGCACTTTTTAAAGGAAGCAAGAAGTCATTTCGTTACTTTTGATAAATAAGGTAACTTAAAATATAGATGACTTAATGAGGAAGAAAGGGAAAATATATAACAATTGTACAAACAAAACAAAGTAAGATTTAAATATTAAGGTGGGTTTTTTTTACTAGTTAACTGGCTATGAAGGTAATTCCAAAATATGTTTCATCTAACAGTCTACAAGGTGTCTTTTTGAAAAATAATATTCATGTATGTATAAATTTCATTTAAAGACAATTGACATGATCTTACTCTACATAATTTTCTATGTTCAAAACAAGGAAAGTTTTTAAAAAGTGAAAATATTTTGTTTCTCTAGTTCTTGACCCATGGTAATCCTTCAGCATTACAGACTTTAAGTCAATGGGGACTTGTTTTGCTCTGCGCGGGTTCTAAACCAGGGCTTCGGTATACTAGGCAATCACTCTAGCACTGAGCTATTCTGCCAGCCCTCAAAGTGGTTTTTTTGAGAATTGGTAAAATATATGTCTTCTTTGACGTGAAAATTAGACTGGATAAATTCTGATGTGGTTATTTAATAATCATGAAATGATACTTTTTTTTTTTAAACAAGGACTCGCTATGTAGTTTATGTAGTCCAAGCTGACCACAAACTTGCAGTGACTGTGTTAGCGTCCCTAGTGCTGAGACTACAGGTGTGCGCCATCACGCCCAATCAAATGATACTTTCAGTGTTTTATAATCGTATATTTTCTTGGTGTGATATTCTTCTTCCAGCCCTCCACCCCAATGATTTCACATCCTACGAAGATTTGAGTACAGGAGTTTGAAATATACCCTTTAAAAGGCCATCTGACTCGAGCGTTAACCTTGCTCTACCAGTGATGGAGAACTTTTTAGAGCTTTCAATAAGCATCCCGCTCCAGCACGCGAGCTACAGGTTCCCTGCCACAGCTAGGCCAGCCCAGCCAGCACCCGCCACCTTGCCGCGGATTTGGTAACCTAGCAACTGAAGCGCACAGGCAAGGATTTCTGGAACCTGGGTTATCCAATCAGCTCGGCGGATTCGCCGCACGGGCTGATGGGGTACTGGAGGAGGCGGTCTCTGGCCTCAGCACCATGGAAACGCTTGGTGGGGCTGGGGTGGCCATGGCTGCTCCGTCTGTCTTAACTGCTAAGGCTGTGACTGCTTTCCTCGTGTTGGTCGTCCCTAGCATCTCGCAGGCTCTGACCTTCTCCTTTCCTTTCCAGCAGCCGGAGACATGCAGCCACAACCAGTACTTTGATATCTCGGCTTTGTCCTGTGTCTCGTGTGGAGCCAACCAGAAGCATGATGCGCGAGGTGAGACGGGCGCAGGGTGGACTCGGCAAACCTAACACTCCCACCTTAGTGCTGTCCTCAGGCCACCTAACCTTTTTGTTTGTAGAAGGAATGATTCAAAACACTGCAGGTTTCCTGGGAGGACTCCAGTTTGCACACTAAAATGGTCGGGGAACCCGGAGAGCTTTACCCTCCTTGCGTCTGCATTCAGCGTCAGCTCCTCAGCCTTGATGGGGGAAATCTGTGAGGGCACCACCGAGAAAGCTGCCTATCGAACGACGTAGATAAATAGTACAGAAGTAATCTGAGGTAAAGAGATGCAGATAACAGGAAAGATCAGGGAGGAATTAACGCTTGTAAACGTTGATAGCCCTTTATCTTGCTTTTTCATATCCCAGAAACTTAGAGCTAGAAAAGACCTTAATTAAATGTGATCAGAGCCAGTCTTTTCATTGTACTCATAAGAAATAAGTCCCAGAAGAGAGGAAGTTGTGAAGTAGTATATCACCTAAATTGGGACTGGGAGATCGCATGTCTTTTCCTCCCTCACTTTAATTTCCCCCCTAAAATGTGCAATAATCTGCTCAGAATTAGTTTTTCTCCATACATTGAAGTCTAAGGTGTTTTCGGTCTCGATTTGATCATCCAGAAGTGGTGGCAACCTACAGCAACCATGCTGCAGCGGACTGTTTGTGTCATTGAAAACTCTAAAAGGTTCGGCATCACTGATACAGTATTATTAACTTTCTGCCACTTTCAACCTGATACATGCACTGACCAAGTCACTGACCAAGGTGGATTAGGTTGTTTGGGTAAAGACACACGAGTGAGAAAGCAGTTCAAGATCTAAAATGTAAGATATTAGTATAATTAAGAATCTTGACGTTGTATGCATTGTACTACACAGATTCCTGTGATTGTATGACACAGAGAATGCTGCCCTTGCTATGCAGCCAGTTAGTAGTAATTATCTTGGAACATTTGCTAGCTTTCCAAACAGATGGGAATAGTGATTTGTTTTCTTTTCCATTAAGGTTTGGCAGTTTGTAATTCACTGAATGTTCATGCATAAATTAACTACATAGAAATACAAAATTTTCTATAGCAGTTAATAGTTTTAAAAGTTCAGTTATTTAACAGTTTAGTTATACTTGAAATTAAAAAACAGTAGCAATGTAATATAAGCTGTGTGCCAGACTCAAGGAGATTTTTACATATAGCAGCTAATTCAAAACATGGTAGGGCCCAGGATATAGCTCAAAGGCACAAGCACCTGCCTGGCAAGTGCAAGGTCCTGAGTTCGATTCCTGATATCAGAAACAAACAAAAACTCACACTAATGCTATGAGGTAGGTACTGTTATTTTTGTCTATTTTACTGAAGAAGCATCAAGGCACAGGGTTCAGTCACCAGCTCAGTGTCACTCAGCTTAGTAGGAAATTTAATATTGGAACCCAAGGAGTACGTTTGTGGTTTTGAAACCAGACACTGCTAGTTCCAGTATCTTGCTGTTTGCCACTGTACAATGCTGCTCCCTTAAAGTCTTGAGATTTACTGTCATGAAGTTTTATTTTGATTTACCAAGGACGAAATTGTCTCCTTTCTTTTCAGGCACCTCATGTGTATGTTTACCAGGATTTCAGATGATTTCTAATAATGGAGGACCTGCCATTATTTGTAAAAAGTGTCCAGAAAATATGGTATCAAGATCTTTTAAATAATTTTTTCCTGTAAAAAGTAATGAGTTAAATCTCTTTATTTTTCAAACTTGAATATAATATTTAGTCTAATTTTCCTCACAATCTTTAGAATTATTCAACTAGTTTTACTAGAATAAATTTTGGGAAATTGGTGGAATTTTATGCAAACTTGGAAAAAGCTTTTTAAGTCTGAAACTTTAAAAAGTGTACAAATCTGTGGAAATTTGTATTTTTACTTTAACTCACAGAATAACTCATTTATAAAGAAAGATGAATAATACATATACTAGCAATCAAGGATATATATGAATAGTAGGTTATATGATGATCTATGTTTGTGATGATACCTAAAGTAAAATAAATTCATGTAAGCTGAGCATAGTGGCACATGCCCATAATTCCAGCCTTCAGGTGGCTGAGGCAGGAGGATTACTTTGAGTTCAGAGCTAGTCTGAACTACACAGTGAGACACTGTCTCAAAACAAAACAAAAAATAAAGTTCATGTAATGCCAGTTGGGTCAATAAATAGTTAAATAATGTCTCCATATTTTGTTAGCCATTTTATTATATCATTTTGGGGAAATAAATTAATAGTAGCCATGTAGAATAATTTCTCAATTTTTTCAATCCTTTTGGATAATTGGGAGTTTCTTTGTGAGTTTGATTTTTTATAGCAATATTCATTCTCATTATCATAGTTTAAAAAAATTAAATCTAGGAATTAAAATTAAACTTATGAGTTGTCCTAATTTAAAGCTATTTGTATATGGGTCTGCTTATCATTTTGATATTTACGTTATATTGAAATTGTTGGTAATAACTGACTCACTGATGACAAAAAGCTGCTTTTAAAAGTGGTGACAGGGCAGCCTTCATTTTCCGTGACATTATTTAAGCTATTTTAGTGGTTAAGTAATCCTAAATAAGTATAGTGCCAAATATAAGCGTACTTCAATTTAAAATAATTTGTGGCATTATTCTGTTTTTACCATTGTTCTCTATTACTTTTGGTCACATGTATTTATAATTACCATATTATTGTCCCTATTTTTCCTAAGCCATAAAATAACTATGAATTGAAATGTTGTAGAAGTTTGCCAAAAACCTTTACCACCACAGATCATTAATGGATAAAACAAACTAGTCTCACAATATTTGAAAATTGATTTTAATTTATATAGCATGATAATTTACCCATTTTGAGTCAGAATTTAATTTATAAAAGTTAATGTACTTCAACTTTTAAAAATTAACTATTTTAGAACTTGTAAGCCTAATTGATTCTTTATTGGTTCAATCCTGTTGATTATTTTTGCATTTTATATTTATAAATGGAAAAATTGAATGACAGTATTAATTATGAAAGTAAGACTCCATCTGAGCTGAGGAACAAAGAATTATTACTGAGTTTATCTTTTATTGACAATTAGGACAATAGTAATAAACTTGCCATTTTACTTTGTAGTATAAAGTGTGAATTGGCTATCCAAGGAATTTTTCTGAGATTCATATACATGTGATGTGCTTGAATATATATTGCAAATTGCATACTGTTATGGCTGTTTGAACTTATACAATCAAGTCAGAAAAAAATTAATTAAAAAGGAGAAAAATGTTTTTAATTTAGAAAGGTGTTACTGAAGATGGCTGGAACTGTATTTCTTGCCCTGGTAGCTTAACTGCAGAAGGGAAATGCTACTGTCCCACTGGCCATATTTTAGGTAAGAATTAACTTCTTTATAAGATAATGGTGATGAATTTTTATGTGTGTCTCATAAAGAACATTAATTTAAGGCTGGGCATGATTGAACATACCTCTGATCCCAGCACTTGGGAGGCTGATGAATGAGGATCATAAATTTTGAAGCCAGTCTGGGCTAGAGAATGAGACCCTGTCTCAAAAAACCATTGAACCAACCAACCCGAAAGAACATTAATATAAATAGTTTAGTGATTACTTAATAGAATTTTAATAATTATTTTAGTGCAAAGTTTAGTGATGCTTAAGACATCAGCAGGCATTAAGTAGAAGCTATGTTCTGTCTAGTTAGAAAAGGGACTAGATGGATTCTTCCTTAGCATAATATGATAAAATGTATGTGCCTCAGCTCAAAAGCCAACATAATACTTAACAGGGAAAATTTATAGCCATTCCTGTTAATTTTGGGGCTGGAAATGGATGAAAACTGTTGCATTTAAGGAAAGGGAAAATCATTTTAAAAAAGAAAAAAATATAATTACTGTTTGCAGATGAATTATTTAGAAAATCTGAAGGAGCTGGGCATGGTGGCACCATCTGTAATCCTAGTATTCTAGGAGGCTGAAACAGGAGGGCTGCAGGGTTGAGCTCAGCTGAAACAACTTAGCTACTTAGACTGTCTTTAAAAATTACAGGAACAGGGGGTGTAGTTAAGTGTAAAGGCCCAGGATTCAATTCCAAGGGCCATAAAGAAAAGACAAGACTCAAAATAATCACTACTAAAAGTTAGAAAGAGTAAAAGTTCCTAGATACAAAAATAATATCCAAACATAGTAGCCTTCCTATTTAAAAACATAGTCCTTTAGAGATGTGATAGATGATATTTCATTTGCAATTAAAAAAAAAATGTGAATTGAAGAAAACTTTGCTATTAAGGGACACAGAATCAGGCTTTAATAATAAAAATACATTCTTCATTTGGGGTGAGAATATTGGAGAAACCATACCACCAGGTATTTATTATTCATGCTTCATGACTTTTATCCTTGGTATCAGCTACATGTGTAAGCCAGTTAGTCACTGGAAGAATCAGAACCCCTGAGAAATCTTACATAGCAATCCACTCCTATTCCATTACTCTAGCCATTGTTGACCTTGTAATTTTACAGATACTCTTGAAATTTCGGGGGTCATAAGCAGAATATTTGGGGGGGGTATTTTTGTTTTGCTGCTTTCTCTGGCACCGCGTGTCTCCTTGAGATTAGGTGACAGCTATAAAAACATAGTATTGCTATTTAGAGGTTACTGTCATGTGCTTGAAATTCTCCGTAGTGTAGAGCAAAGGAGGGACAGTAGGAGTGAATTTACATGGATGATCATGGAACACCTTCTGGAAAGATGACAGCTGAGCAAAAACATGACGGGAATGTGGAACACAGCCCTGTGATGACAGGATCGTGATAAGCAGAAGTCATACCGAACGCCAAGATCCCATGATGGTAGCGCGTTCAGCACGTACCAGGAAGAGGAAAGGGGAAGCTGATGGAGCTGATGGAGCTGAGCAGATCTTTAAGGCTCATGATGAGAGCCTTGGAAGTGACACTGTGTGAGACGGAAGGCCATTGGTAGATAGTAAGAAGAGAAGTGGCCTGATCCTAGTTAGGTTTTAAAAAGCTTCCTCTGGCTTCTATATAGAACATGGAACCAGCACACCAGTTAGAAACCAGTTACAAAAGCCCAGGTCATAAAATATGATGCTTGATCTGTGGTATTCATTGTGGAATTAGAATAATCCAGCTTCTGAATAAGTCCTGACAAAAGAGTTGGCAGGATTTGTACATCGATTTATTTCAAATTTTATTTATACAATCTTTGGTTCTGTACAGGGATTGACCTCAGGACTTTCATGTTGAGAACCACATCCTCAGGCCTCATTATATTTTATTTTGAGGGTAGGGTCTCTAATTTGCCCAGATAAGACTGAAACTTACGATTCTCCTGCCTCAGCCTCCAATAGTGCTAGTATTATAGATGTGCACCACCATGCTCAGTTCAGTTTTTATTTTTTATGTGAAGAGGAGACTCTCAGGACTAAGGCCTGAGTAAATATTCAAGTGGAGTTGCACTGCACTTGAGGGAGATGATTATATGAGGAACAAGTTTACCTTTACTTTTGTCAAAAAGATTTTGTAGCCCCACTCCAAAACCTTACATTGTATATACATTCAAAGTCCTCCTTGATCATTTTTCCCAATTTGGTTGTTAACCCCAAAGTAATTGTTTCTGATTTGGGGGTGGGGGGGGATGTCCTTCCAAAAATATTTCCTCCTAGTTTGTCATAAAGATATTCATGTTAACCACAAAAATTATAACTATTATACAAGAAATATAAATTAGTATTTCATATTCCAAATATTGTTCTGTTGCAAACTTACTTCAGCTAACAATACATATACAAAGTCTACATCATTCTTTTTAATCTATCCTACAGTAATACATAATATGCATATATCACCATTTTACTGGTAGCTGTTCATACTGCTTTCTAACAAATGTTTTAGTGAATATTCTTATACACATGTAAAATATTTCTGTTTTGTATTTAAAAACGAAATTATGCTGTGTAAAATATGTGAATTTAGGGGTTGGGGATTTAGCTCAGCGGCATAAGCACCTGCCTTAAAAGCAGGCAGTCATGAGTTCGATCCCCGGTACCGATAAAAACGAAAAAGACAAAAACAAAAAATGTGAATTTAAAACTTTTATAGACATTATTGAAAGTTATAGAAACTTAACAGCAATCTATGAAAATTCTTATTTCAGGATCACAAGAAAAAGGTAAGAAAACTTGAGGAAAAAATGTTACTGATTCATTATTAGTGATGCCTTGGAAAATTAGTTTCTTCTGTGTTTTGTTATTGGAAATGGAGAGAAGGCTTCACTGTTCTACACTTAGAGATGCTTGAGTATGCAAGTAATGTGTTTTGAGAATTATAACAATAATTACAAGTGAATTTTATTAAATATTTTCTAAGTACATGAAGCTTATGTGTTTTCTTGAATTACACCTTGTCTTTGCTTCTGAATCATTTAGTGGAGAGACATGTTAATGGATCGTTGTTATCTCAAGCAAAGTGTGAGCTTTGTGATGGAAATGAGACGTCTTTTACAACAGCCAATGCTTTAGGAAACGTGTAAGTAATACTGCTGGGACTGCCTTCATTAATATGGTCTTACATTGTCATCTTGCTTTTAATAAATGTCTACATAAATCCACCAGAGTTACCACCCATCCAGTGTCCTCTTTCCTTAAAGGATAATATGAAGTGTTTTCCTAAAATGAACAGAGAGGATGAACAGTGCTATTTGTAGATTTGGTGAAGAGGTTAGATACACTCTTCTTTTCAGCTTATGCTGCTATTTTGTGTATAACAGATAAGGAAAATATATTTGATATAGCTACTTAAAGTTAATTTATATTGAGTTGTTGGTGTCTTTTGTTAACTGAGTGACTTTATCATCTTTAGTATTTAGTGTATTCATTTATTATATTTCTAAATATAGTCTTCTATTGGCTTTCAATTTTGTTTATAGGTTACCTTGTAACACAAAGAATGATATAAAACTATTTAAATCAGTGTTAGTATTTGCTTAAGTAATTGCAAATCTGAATGAATCTGTTCTAATCTAGTATTTAGGAAAACAGGTTCTTAATTAAATTAGTTTAATGTGACTCACTAATGTGTTAAAAATTATTTTTGTTATGTTGAACAGATGTGTCCGATGTGAACCAACATTCATTAATGCCACCAGATCCTGTGAATGTTCAGAACCTAACATTTTAGTAAGGATAATCAAATTGATAAAGTATATATTTTAATTCAATCATTTGTAGTATTCCATAAACGAGGTATTTTCCCCTTATTTTATTTGTGAAGGCAGGGGGATTATGTTTCCGCAGCCTAGAGAGTTCTTCTTCACGTGTAATTTCAGCTGCACGCCAGGGAGAGCCCGTAAGTATGTTTCACATTTTTGTTTGATTATGAAGGATCTTTCTGCATCCCTTTCTTTGATAATTAATTTCATACTACTGTGAGAAACAATTATGTGTAAATCACTTTAAAACAAATTTTTAATGTAAGAAACATTATTCTAACAATTCTGCCCTGTAATTTATTAGTACCATATTCCATATGTTGGCTTATTCCTTTCTCAATGAATTACAGAAAGTAATGTCCTCTACAGGTCTTATAAAGTATGTAGATTTTTTTGTTTTTTTTTTTTTGTTTTTTTTTTTTGGTCTTTTTCCTTTTTATCGGTACCAGGGATTGAACTCACGACTGCCTGCCTACAAGGCAGGCGCTTATGCCGCTGAGCTAAATCCCCAGCCCCTAAAGTATGTAGTTTAATACAGTTAAGAGCATCATATATTATACATTGGAACCTCAGATTTTCCAGTCATTAGTTTTGTATCTTTGGACTTTGGGAAAGTTGCTTAGCACTTCTAAATTTCAGTTTATTGTCTATAGATGAGACATAATACTGGCTACATTGCAGTGTGAATACGTGGTGGGCATTGGAGAAATTCAGATTATTCATATCCAGCCAGCTTGTTTTATAGGAGAGAACACTGAGAACTAGGACTCAAGCCTTCACAGTAGATGCTGGGTAATAACAAGGTTTGGGTGTAAAGCAGGAAGCAGATGAATTGGAACTGTAAAAGTCACAAACCTAAGAGAATAAGGTTATGTGACTAATGGACATTAAAAGTGTCAAGTATACCAGCACAGCTTGGGCAGAAGACTCTCATCTAGTTGTTAATTATCACCATTAGCTATTATCATTAAGTAGGAATGATTAGAAGGTATGTAAGAGTTAGCAACGGTGAGGGTGGAATTTGGGATCTTTTGAAGAAATTGTTATTTATTAGTACAAGGTGGCAGTAGATAATAATTACATTCACTATGAGGAGTTGGTGCACGTATATATACATCTTAATTCTTTTTACATTGCCTTCCCTTCTGTCCCTCCCACTGGAATCTGGGATCTTGACAAAGAAAGCAAAAACTTTCTCTCCTCCACTTTACTTTATGATGCCTTTTTAGAGAAGGAATGTAAACATTTGGGATTTTGGTATCTAAGGAGGTCCTAAAGCCAATGGCTAAAAACATAAGAAAAACCTGTTTATCCATATATATGTACAAACATTTTTTGTTCTGAACTATTTGAAAATGAGTTGTATACATGATGAAGGTTTACTCCAAATGCTTCACCGAATTTCCTAGCAGTAGGGGCATTTTCCTAGCATCACATCCAAAAAATTTAAAATAATACAATAGAAATATCTGATACCCATTAGATTTCTCCAGTTTTTCCAGTAGCACCCTTCCTTCCTTTCCTGTTTTGGAGGAGAAGGTCCGGGATACAGGCAAGGATCGCACACTGCAACCAGTCTTTTTTCATTTTCTTTAATCTCCAATAGACACCTGCTTCATTTCACTTCTTTATTAATACTAAGAAAATAGCATTATTTATTTTCACGTAACAATATACATATCAGTATCTTTCTAACAGCATAAGTTCAAAGAATCTTCATTTGAATTTTATCTTTTCATTTACAGGGCATGTCTTTCATTTCAGAATGGTTTGCACAGTATTTGCAGTCAGCAGCAGCTGCATGTCGGGTAAGTTTGAATTTTAAAAAAATGTTTTATGTCGCTTTGAAGAATCATGGTTATTTTTTATCCAGATAAAGTTTGCTTTCTAAGTGGATGTATTTCCTTGGTCATATTCTCTAAGAAGAATAGACACTTTATAGTGGATTGAAAGAGAATACATAGGGGCTGGGGGTTTAGCTCAGCGGTATAAGCACCTGCCTTGCAAGCAGGCGGTCGTGAGTTCGATCCCCGGTACTGATAAAAATGAAAAAGACAAAAAAAGAGAATACATATAGAAAATATCATTCAATAGAAACAGATTAAATGTCTCTAAGCTTAATCATCTACATTTGAGTATTTGGGAAAAACTGACTTGTCATTTAGTGAGTTTTGTTGATAGCTACAGTGCCTGACCCTGTTCTTAATCAGCTTAGATAACCGCAGAAGAAGAAAAATTTTGCATGTAGAGTTGTAATGTAAATAAATATCAGTTTGTACTGAATGCTGTGAAGGCAGTAAGTCAGGGTAAAGAGCAGAGAAAGTGGTGTTGGGAGTGCTCTTTTATATACAGTGATCAGAACAGGAATCTCTGACAGGAGGATATTTGAGCAAAGACCAAAAGAAGCACAAGTGAGTCATGTAAGTAGCTGGGGAAAAGTATTCTAAAAAAGAGACCACAGTAGTTAGCAAAGGTCACAAAGCAGGAGTTAGTGGTGTGTTCATGCTTCAGAAACAGGAAGGAGGCTGGACTGGCGGAGGCAGCATGAACAAGGAAGGTAGGGAGAAGAGGTCAGCGGGCAGGAGGGCCTCTGGGGAGGACCTAGCGTCTGGCCTGGGGAGACAGAAAGATTGTGCACAAAGGAAGACATGCTCTAACTTCAGGCTTTTAAGTAAGTCCTGTCTCATAAGAATAGATTTTGTTAGGCTGAGAACAGAACAGGGAGACCACTGGGTCGTATTACAGTAATCTGAGAAAGCAGAACTGCAGGGGAGGGAAGTGAGAGAAGGGTTCGGCTTCTGGCTGGCTGGAACACCGAGCCAACGGTGTTTACTAATGAGGTAGAAGTGGGTGCCACAGGACTAAGTTCACTGTCAAGTTTTTGACTTGATTAACTAAAAATGCAGTTGCATTTTCCTCATAGGAAAAACAGAAAGAAAATTAAAAGGAAACTCAATAAATGATCTTCTTTTGGTTATTCATAAAACAAATTACTTGAAACAAAATGGGTTAGCTATCACTGTATACATTACTATTATTAATATTCTACTTAATAGGTTTTTAAAATAAAATAGCATGCCATAAATTTTCACTTAGCTCTTTTAGTTGCTTGTCTTTATAGTTTAGCCTGAAATTTATACTAAAAATGTACTTATTCTTCTTCCTATATGGAAAGTTTCTTTTCTATTTAAGCTAGAGGAAAGGTATTAAAAAGCAAAAGGGTAAAAAAAGAATTAGTGTGTAATGTATTAGCTGGGTGTGGTGGTGCACATGCATCATCCCAGCACTCAGGAAGCTGAGACAGGAGGATTGTTGCAAGATCGAGACCAGCCTGGGCTACAAAGCGAGCTCCAAGCCAGCTTGAACTGCATAGCGAGACCCTGTCTCAAGCACACACACACAATATATACATAAATAAAGAAGAATTAGTAAGAGAGACATACTGACTTTTGTTTAAGCTATTAATGTTGCAGTATATTTTTTTGCCATGGTTTCTTAGGTGTATGCCAACTTAACATCTTGCCAAGCTCTTGGTAATATGTGTGTGATGAACATGCATTCTTATGACTCTGCCCTTGTGGATGCATGTCGCCAGTTTCAGATCATCTTTGAAAACACTACTGGAATGAGCACAGTGCATTCCATTTCATTTTGGTAAGGACATTTTGATCAATGAAATGTCATTTTGACCAAATGCAGTAGTTATTTTCACAAATGCTAAGAAATGTTTCTTTACTTTTATTAAAACAATTATAATTGTTTGTAGGAGACAGAATCTTCCATGGCTGTTTTATGGAAACGAATCAGGAATGGCACCTCAGATACTCAGTAGTACACCTCTTCCTATGAATTTCAGTTTTAAAGGACAAAACCAGGTACAAGTCACTCTAACATTAGAGGATAACCACATTTTGATTTGCAGCTTCAGAAAGTAGTAAAGTTACTAGTCACACTTCTAAATTCATGAAGACCATTTAAAAATTTTGGTTACTAAAACAAATAGGAAAAAAAAATAAAAAAAGAACAAATAGAAATATCAGCCACTTAATGGAATTAGACAGTGTGATCATTGCTGTGTTGCATGAGTGTTTGGATGCTTCTGAAGGATTATTTGGTCATAGCAGGTTGTACTTGTGGAGCTGAGAAGAGTATGCAAGGCACTCTCTGTCCTTCTATATCTTCACAGGTTTGCAAAGTGCTTGGAGAGATCGACTGAGTTTCTGTAGCTTTTCCCAGCGCTTCATAGGTCCTAATCATCACCTCTGACTTTTTAACTTTCTAGAATGAAGAAATAACCCGTTCTCCACACCACCCCCCTCCATTCAAAGACTTGAAAGGAGGTTATCTGTCACTAGTATTGACACTCAATTCTGCAATGGTAACTTTCATTTAAGAAAACCAGTCCTGATGGTGTAGATGTATTTAATCACAGAGATGGATTAAGTTAGATTCAAAATATAGTTGAATGTAATATTGCAACCAAAATCAGTCAATACTGAAAAAGAATTAGTCAAAAATGAAAATTTCTTTATAGAAATATAAAAATATAGAAATATTCTCAGAATATTCAACGTTGTTGTTTTTCTTTGATCAGAATACAAAACTGAAGTTTGTCGCTGCTTCCTATGACATAAGAGGAAACTTTCTTAAATGGCAAACTTTAGAAGGAGGTGTTTTACAGGTAAGTGTGATTCTAACTAAACAATTGCCAGGGTTTCCTTATTTTTGCCTATGCCAAAAACAAATGAAAGACTCATTGCTTGCGAAATCAGTTATATACCATAAAATACTTTCTGATGCTTTATACTGGGGTTTCTTAGAAGTGTTTTTTAAAGTTATGGCTTTAATTTATAGCAACATACTCCCTTAACTTTTCATGCCCTTGCTACGTTAGCACGTTTATCTTCTAGGGATCTAGAGAACTGTGAATCTTAGGCAAAAGAAATATTTGTGAGACAGATTTATGGCTATTTTTGTTTGTTTGTTTTTGTTTTTTTGCTGTAGCTTTGTCCAGACACAGAAGCAAGATTAAATGCTGCTTATTCTTTTGGAACAACCTATCAACAAAGTGTAAGTGTGAACTATGTTATGCATTCTGTATTTTAGCTTTGTCTTTGGAAAATGTCACATCAGCAATAATTGGAATAATATGTGAAACTTTCAAGTTAGAAATGTTTTTAACAGTACTAAGTTACTTTATTAAGTTTTTATTATTTGGGTACTGAAAATGTTAATTTAATGAACATAAAGAAACCACCTCCTCATCTATGAAATCTTTTTTCCTTTTTAAAGTGCTGGGACTTAAACTCAGGGTCCTCACACATGCTAGACATGTGCTCCACCACTGCTCTGTATAACCCCAGGCCCTAGAATCTTAAACATCCCATAATGTTAGAAATTCATAAAAAAATTCTTTACCTTCTTCTAATCTTAAAGATCTTTAAAAATATCAAAACTTCGGAGCATGTGGGGATAAAGTTAAAAATACTGCTTTATTTTTAGTGACTAATGAATGTTACTTCCTCTTTACTCTACCCACTAATAACAAATACACATGCTTTTCTCTTCCTTCATATTGTCCTCTCTCTGTCCATATCTTTATTCTTTTTGCTGTCACCTTTTGTTTTGAAATTACTGTATCATACAGAGGAATATTGTGAGCCATTAAATATTTAAAACACATTCAGTAGTTTATAAAATTGCTCCTTGCTAAAATATATATACATATACATAGAACAAAACCACATTGAAAAATACTAGCATGGAATACAGGTTGAAAGAAAATATTTTCAACAATGATTCTCTTTGGATGATTGGGTTAGAGATGAGTTTAGTTTTCTTGTATTTTCTAAACTCTCTACGATGAACCAGAAGTTTGCTTTCATTTGTCAGATGTGACCTTTATGTGGTTTTGTTTGGTTTTTAAAAAATATTATTTTGTGTCTACTATGAGCTGATAGATTTATATTTAAGTATCTGCTACTATATGCTTAATATTTTATCTCATTTGATCCATAAAATAATGAAGATACTAAGTATCTGTGCTTCACAGATGAGAAAAAGGTGTTCAGTAAGATTAAAAATTTAGGAGGCTGGGGATTTAGCTCAGCAGCATAAGCACCTGCCTTGCAAGCAGGCGGTTGTGAGTTCGATCCCCGGTATTGATTAAAAAAAAAAAAAAACAAGATTAAAAACTTACTGTCTTGCCTCAGGTGACTCTGGGGCCCATGTTTGGTTAGATTTAAAGTCTTGATATTGCACTGAATCTGGCCGCTACTCATGTAGGGTTCACAGCCCAGTAGACAAAACAGCGAAAGAGAGAATTGCTAAGAAAGTGGTAAGTAGTGTACTATGAATATGTAAAATATACCATTTCCCAGGGTAGTACAAAAAGTCTTCACAGATGGAATAATACTTGGGCTTGTATAATGAATATGAATTGCACAGAAAAACACAGTTGGGAATGAAATTCCAGGCAGAACCCACATTTGTGATGTCAAAAAGAGAGACTGCATGGCACAGTTAAGAACTGCAGTAGATCAGTGTGAATGGACAGCTGGAGGCCACAGGGAACAACAGAAGATAAGCTGAGCTCCACTGCAGTCAGCCAAATCATATACACTGTTCTGTATCGACAGAAAGAACTGAAACATCATCCCGTAGAACAAGAGCTGTATCTGTGTCTTTACAATCATATACACTTTATATCAAAAAATGAAGGGGTATCTTTTCCATTAACTCCAAGGTCAAGAACAAAATTGTTCTTTACTATTAGTTTGTTTTTGATCCTTATAAAAATCATATTTATAAATTCATGTTTTGAAGTTATACAGAAATGCATGTAAACAAAATGGTTTATTTTGCAAAACTAAAAAAGTATTAGAGATAAAAAAAATATTTTCTGATTTTCAGTTGTAATCCTTTTGTTTTGAATTTTGTTTTCCAGTGTGAGATTCCTCTTTCTAAGATCCTAACTGACTTTCCGACTCCTGTATTTTATGATATTTACCTTGAATATACTGATGAAAATCAACAACAAAATATTTGGGCTGTACCCGTGTTAAACTTAAATCTTCAGCACCATAAAATGTTTGTGAACCAAGGTAAGATATCCATACCTGTCATTCTTTCTCTGAGCTGAGATCAACCAGTATGATAATTTAACAAACCACTAGTTATAAGAGAGGCCATGAATTCTTTCTTTATATAACTTTAAATACTGTTCTACATGAGATTGCTGATATGTTTAGGGATTTTTACGAATTTCAATGTCAGGCCTATTGTTAAGAAATTGTAGTGTTACTACACGCTGGGTATAGTGGCTTATGCCTTTAATTCCAGCACTCCAGTAGGCTGAGGCAGGAGGATTACCATTAGTTTGAGGCCAGCCTGAGCTACATAGAGATTTCAAGGCCAGCTACATAGTGAGACCCTATCTAAAAAAATACCAAAACAAACAAACAAACAAAACCAAAACGTACACACACACACACAAGGAAAAGAAATTATACTATTGCTAAGAGTATATCCTGAGAGAGCTGGTGATGTAGCTCAGTATTAGAGCATTTGCCTGTCATACGCAAGAACCTAGCTCAACCTCCAGAATGAAAAAAGAAAAACTATATGCTGAAAAACTTAGTGGAGCTGTAAATTGTGGCTTTTCTCCAAGTTGTCCTTGATTTACTTTACAAACAAATTGATCTTTTTTTGGTACCAGGAGAACAGATTAATTTTATTGTTTCTCATGCTATAAAATCTGAGTTTTTTCAGATAATTTGCATTCAAAGTAATGAAAAGTTCAAACAAATAGAAGGCATTCAAGCGAGATAGAAAAACGATAATATGTCGGAATTGCTTAGAGCATTTACTCTTTCAAGCCATTGAAATATTAATGTTGTGTTTTAAATTTGTTCAGCAAACATCTTAAAAACCATCTTGAATAATTTGAAGATTTTTTTTTAAATCCCATCTTTTTCTTCTGTTTTATAACAAGATAGTAGCTCCGCCAAGTGGCTTCTGACTCGGCGCATCTTCTTAGTGGATGCAGTCAGCGGAAGAGAAAATGACTTAGGAAGTCAGCCGCGAGTAATTCGAATCGCTACCCAAATAGTGCTGAGGTAAGCAGATATCTAATTAGGTTTAAATTAGGCTTGGCGTGTTTGGAAAATGTTATAATGAGAGTGTTTACCAGTAACTGTCAGAGAAGAACAATAAGGACAACCGAATGAGAATAATGTGTACATCTGTGTAGACTGGCATAGACCAGGAAAGGTGAAGACAGTGGAGTTCGTGGTCTGGAAAGAGCTTGAGGAATCTGGTCAGAATTCAAGTTCTAGACTACACCCTGCACATGCTGAATTACAATATGCAAAGAGTGAGCCAAGGCCAGCACCAGTGAGTTGAAATGGGTATTTTAAAAAGAGCCTGCTAGATGATTGCTAGTGGTTCATCCTCCTCAGTCTCATTTCCTTTCATGGCTGTTTTGACTTGGGATACCTGTGACCCTAATTTAGAGGAGTACCATACGGCCCGTATCTCTTTTTTTTTGAAGCATTTCAATATACACTCTTTTATTTTTTTCACTGTACTTCATTTTGATTTTCATGATATTCTTATGAAGTAGACAGCATAAAGCCTTGTCATGTAACTTGCCGAAATCTAAGTGTATTGTGTTTTCAGCATTCCCTCAATCGTTACTGTGGTAACCCTAATGACAGTGAAACCAGACCTAGTCAGGCTTCACCTGATCTTGATGAAACCCTGCCAGCACTTTTCCTTTTTGGACTGAGACTGTCTGGCCCCAATGCCACGTACTTGGCAAAGTACTCAGCTTTATCCCTTAACCTGTGCTAGATGTGACACATACTTTAGAAGTCATTTTCTCTTTTGAATGTTAGAGTAGTGTCTGCCTTTCTTCAGCCATCATGTAGCTCTTCTCTTTTGAATATTCTTGAAGGTTGATTCACAGTGCTTCAGCAATTTCATTCGTAAGCTTGGTAGCACCTGGATCAGAAGTTTCAAATTTGTCCCCAGCAAGTATACTTTAACATTAAAGTTTTGACCACTTAAGATTAGCACTTTCCCTAACCCCTGTTTATTGGTCAGAACCAACCAGTTGTAGAAGTCATCATGATAATCTGTATTAAATTCAAAGGAAATGAGAAATATAGGTTTTAGGGCCTAGATATATGTGTAACTATAAGCATATTTTCTTTTAAATAGCATCCACCTTGTACCTGATACAAAAAATGGAAACATATACCCTCCCCTAATCACAATTGCCTACAGTGATGTTGATGTCAAAGGTCCCGACAGCCAGTCTGTAAAGGTGAGTTCTTTGATATTCAATGACCTTGTAAATGTAAATAAAGTACTGATGTAGTTTACATAATATTTTTTAAAAATCTGTTTTTCAAGTTTCAAACAAATCCTTCTCTTCCTATAGTTAGGTCTTGATTAGTTTTAACTAATGGTAAGAGTTAAGTGTTTACAGATCTTGAATATGAAAAAGTAACAGGTTAAGTGTTTGAGTAGTGGAGTCACAGAGTTTGAGCATCCCCATAAGGGATCTCAGCTGTGCTGAGATCTATACAGTTTGCTTCTGTTCTTTTCTGGCCACTTTGCTTCTAGTCTTCTTATTTAATTAAGCCAGGAACTCAAAATTTACAGGGATCATACTGTGCTTGTCAATTTATAGCCCATTTGATAGAGACCTACTTCAGTAGGCAAAAGATTTACATTACTGGTTTTTTTTTTGTTTTTTTTTTTTTGTCTTTTTCATTTTTATCGGTACCAGGGATCGAACTCACGACTGCCTGCTTGCAAGGCAGGCGCTTATGCCGCTGAGCTAAATCCCCAGCCCCTACATTACTGGGTTTTGTGGTACATTAACTAATGATCAATTTGGAACACCCAGTTGAATGAGTCAGCGTAGTTCTGGGTGTGCAAGACCCACCTGAGGATTGTTGCCAACAGCAGGAAAGGAGAACTGGAGGGGAGGATGGTATGTTGCTGCTGGAGAAGTTTGTTCTGTTGCTTTTCCTGATGTGAACCCAGCTGTGCTCATCATCAGGGGAGCTCAGGTCCTTGCTATTGCCAAGGATGGCTGCTGTTCTCTTTGGGGGAGCTTTGGTCGTAGTCGCTTTTCTCATTGCTGATACAAAATACCTTGTGTCTTAGTCAGTTTTCTCATTGCTAATCCAAAATACCTGACACCCAAAGTTGAAGGGGAAGGGTTTATTTAGCTCAGTTTGTAGAGGTTTGAGTCCATAATTGGCTGCCTGCAAGGCAGGGTAGCACATGGCAGATGGGCAACTGTTCTTGGTGGCAGAAGACAGCAAAAGTAACAAGGGAGTGACAAACCCCTTTTACACTGGGGTAGGTGTAGCACTTAAACCTTAATCCCAGCATTGGACTGTGAATGAGGCACAAACTCTGGATTCAGCCACCTCTGAAACCCACCCTGCTGCGAGACTGCATGAGGCTTTGGGGACATCTAGACACAAAATGTAATACCTTGAGAGTCACTTCTTGGCTCTATTCCAGATCCCTCAGCCTGGTGGCACAGAACCTTCACCCCACTGGCACAGACTTTCTAGCTTCTTCCACCATTGGCTGTTGGGCCTCCCCAGTACAGATCCTTGATAGAGACTTGCATGAGACTTTTTTGTGAGCTCTAGGCCTCCAGCCAGACACATGGAAGACATCACCATGGGCTCTAGGTCTCAGCTGGACTTGTGCAGGACACTGTCATGAGATCCAGGCCCTCAGCTGGATTCTGTGTGTCTCTGATATGTGGTCAGATCTCTTGCGCTCTTCTTCATATGACTTTTTGGGTGAATATTATAAATTATATCCTATAAATTGTATGTCCTATATTAAATCTATTTCCTTGCAAACCCTGACCACAACACAATTATAACAGTAGTGCTAAAGTGAATAGAGAATGTGATTTGGACCTGTAGCCTCAATGCACCCCAGAACTGAAGACTTCGCACACCCAGAAGGCTCTATGTATAGAAGAGAGAGACTTCATGTTTCCCAAAGGCAGGGCACACTGACGGTAACAGGCCTGGGAAAGCCTGCACGTACATGCTCAGCTCCCTCTTGCAATCTCACCAGTCAGATAGTGCATCCCTGCTTTGAAGAGGGGAAAATGAGAAGAATGATAGAGATAAAGACAAGAAGTAACCCTTCTGTGCTTTTGTTTCTCTTAGAAACTATTTCCTTTCTTCTCCAGAAACAGGAGAAATAGGAAGAAACATGATTTAGGTCCAAGACTTATTTAAATAGCTTTTCATTTCTGTTATTTTAGTTTTCTGAATTTTGATGTTTCAGTTTCTGTCACCAGTGCTTTCTTCCTCTCTGATGTGCATGTACTTGTATCCGCTGCTCTTGGATTCAAGCTTTCGTTAAGACGAGGCACATAATGTAACTTTTCTCTTAAAAATGTTCTGTGTTAATTAGTATTACCTGATACCTTGCCAAAATTAGTTTCAGTTGACTAAGCTTATACCATATACACTGTAAGATGAGACCAAAACCACAGAAAAATGTGATTATGTAACAACAAAAGGCTGTTTAGTTTAAATCATCCTGTAGTAATTATTCTTGGGTAATGTGGAATGTACTTATTTTAATACTAAAGCACTTCTGAATCTTCCCTTTAAACATGATGCTTGTCCAAAGTGTTTGAGACAGCCTAGTGACAAACTGGAGAATAAAACATATAAAAAGAATTGGAAGAATCAAATGTAACTGTAAAATATATGATTTTTTTCATTGTCTTTAAATTGTCTATGGCAGTTATTTCAAAAATTTATATCAGTTTAAGCATGTAGGCATGTCTCTTCTTTCTTAGTTCTTGTTTTATTGAGCAGACTAAGGGTCTTTCTTTAGATTTTCTCTTGAATACCTTATAATCTCTGTGTTTGTTCCTATGTCGAAAAGAAGTTCCCTCCTCCTGTCCTAAGCTATCTTCTACTTGTACTTTCGAATTGACAGGACTCAGTCCTTATCCTGTTTCATACCAGCACCTTGTTCAGCTACCCTCTCTGCCAGTTCCTTTTTTTTGCTTATAAAACTAACTCTCATGTTAGGTCACACATTCAAGCTCAGCCTGAGCAAGTTAGTGAGACCCTGTCTCAGAATTTAAAAGAATTAAAGAAGGATTGGGGGTGTACCTCATTGTGAAGGCCCTGGGTTCAAAACACTCCTGAAAACAAACTACACCAACCAGCCAACCAGCCAGCCAATCAAAATTATTTTTTCACAATTCTCCCAGTTCCTTAACTTGCCATTAGATTTCTTTCCTTCATTTCCCAACCACTTACTTTCATCATTTTAGGTCTGGCTCTTGGATTCAAGTTTTCATTTTACTTCTTTGAAAACCTCTCTTATCAAAGTCAGCAATGGATCCCACCTGTAGTGGCATCATTTCTTCTTTAAATTGATATTTATGCAATATCTGGCACTGTTCTCTTGACCTCCTCTTTCCTCCTTCCTAAAATTTCCTATTCTTCAACCACAGTAAGACTTAAATTAATTAAGTAGTAGCCTCTCTACCTCTCTTTGTCTTCTTTTCTTACCTTTTATTGGTAATTCTGTCTCTTGTCCCTTACTGTAGTGCTGTCCGTAAGACTCATGCTCAGACTTGCGAGTAACCTGCCTTCTTAGGATATGATTGTTTGCTGAACTCTGGGTACACAAGTTCAGTCACGTTTCTAAGTTACAGAAATCTATCGGGGAATGAAATACCATTATTTCAGTTTGAACTGCTGTTAGTGATTCTAACTCACCTCCCAGTGAACTATTCTCTTTATTTTGTGTGCAAGTAAAACAGCACAAATAATTCTCAGGAAGCATAGCTATTTGTCTATAAGAGTCAGCTCTGGTAATATAGTTAAAAATATAGCATTCATGGTAAAATCCAGCTACAAATGTATTTCTATGGTAAAGGGATTGTTATATAATTTTAATATGGCTAATTTTTTTTAAATGTCAGGTTTCTTTCTCAGTCCAATATGAAATGAATCAAGGAGAAGCATTTGTCCAGACAGATGTGAGTGCATTTTAATTTTTTTAAATATTTACTCTGTGTGCGTGTGGGAGGGACATATTATGTGTGCATATGTGTATATATATATATATATATATATATATATATAATTTTTTTTTTTTTTTTTTTCCTTTTGAGGACCTGGTGACTGAGGCCAGGACCTCACATATGCTAGGTGAGCACTCCAGTGCACTGCGTCCCCAGTTCAATAGCGTACGTCATTTTTTAATTAAAATTTTTCACATGTAAAAGAAAGTTGTCACAATACATTTAACATAAACTCTTACAATACACCTTAGATAACCATGGAACAGTGATCATTATCTTTTTCTGTTTCAGGACCTAATTCAGATCCTAATATTTGATTTTTAGGACCACAACTCTATTTTTTTTCTCTGTTTGGTTGATGTGGTCTTGGTCTGCAGTTCACGCTCGCCTTGAACTCACTCTGTAGCCTAGATTGGCTTTGAACTCACAACAATCTCCTGCCTTGACCTCCCGAGTACTGGGATTATAGGAATGAGCCACCATGCCCTGCTCATAACACTTCAAATAGTGTAATACTTGTTAATTATTTTAGCTTTCAATTTGGGTTTGTCTGCTATTGTCCCATGATTCAGTTAAGTTCCTGTAGTTTTGGCAGAGTCGCTGCAGAAGTGCCGCTGTGGCCTTGTCAGGGCCTAGTGTCAGGAGCCATATGACGTCACTGTTGGTGTCACGAATGTTGGTCATTTTGTGTGTGTGGTTACAGTGGTTTCCGCCGGACCCTCACCTCTGTGTTTTCACTTGGAGTTAATAAGTATCTTAGGAAAGATACTTTGAAGCTCTGCACATATCCTGCTTCTCATTTTTTTACCTTTTAATTTTAGCATCCACTGACGATCCCAGCCTGCCGGCAGGTGTAACACAGAATTTACCTGCTGACGTTTTTCTACTCCATTCGTTCCTTCTGTATCATGAATGGGAGCTTCATCATAAGGAGAAGCTTTCCCTTGGCCCACATTAATTTATTCAACTATTATACCCTGCAAGCTCTTGGATACTTGTTTGGGTGATTGTAATCCATTACTAGGGTGGTTTTGTTTTGTTTTTTGCTCAAATTTTGCTACATTTGGCCGTTGGAACTTCTTCTAGTTTGATTTCTGTGAGCTTTCAACATGCCCCCCAGTGTTTTTTGAGTACTACTTACTTTCTGTTTACAGTGCTTTTGAATATTGGTGAGAATAATCATATAAAGTGTTCTTTTTCTTGTTTGTAGATTGCTCTGGGTGTGCTGGGTGGCCTTGCTGTTTTATCAGCCCTTTTGAAGACGGCGGGGTGGAAGAGGCGCATTGGGAGCCCCATGATTGATCTACAGGTATAACATGGGAAGGTTTTAACACGTATTTTTATCCTTTGACTATTCTAGATCCTTCTTATAAGATACCACTAGAAGATGAGTAAGAATTTTTTCTGGGGAATCATTAGGAGAGGTATTGCTGGGTCATAGGGTAAATTCACACCTCATTTCTTCCCACGAGGTATGTTAACCCACGTGCTTCCCTGGCAGCGCCACTCCTGTCACTGGCTGTTTTTGTTCTGTCAGTCTTGCCAATACCTGATATGTTCCCAATCTTTCCTTTTCTTTTTTCTTTTTCTATTTCGGTACTATACATTAATATGTCAGAGTTGATTTCTTTCTCGTGGGGGTTGAACCCAGTGCCTTTGTACTGTGCTATACAGTAGCCCCGGCCCTTTTCGGTATTTTTATTTATTTATTTACTTATTTATTTTTTGATATCAGGACTTGAACTCACGGCCTTGTACTTGCTAGGCAGGCACTGTGCCACTGAGCTACGTCCCTGGCCGTCTTTATTTTTAATTTTGAAACAGGATCTCACTAAATTGCTCAGCTTAGACTTCAGTTTGTGATCTTCCCGCTTTAGCCTCCCAGGGCCCTGGGATTATAGGCATACCCCATCACACCTAGCTGATTCCATTTTCATTTCTTCTGATATTCATACACATTTTAATAATTTGAATTTCCCTTTTTCAATGAACTACCTGCATAAATTCCTTGCCCATTTCTCCATTATGTTTTCAGTTTTCTTATTTTATTTGTTAGAGTTTGTGTTTTCTAATTATGAATCCCTTTTTGGTTTTCAATGTTACAATATTTTCTCTAAATAAATGATCTATCTGTTATTTATATACTAGTAGCCCTTTGTTTAGCAGAAACTTTGAATTTCTATTTTATCATATTTGAATATTTTCTCATGTTTTGTTATTTGCTTTTAGCATCTTGTTTAGAAAAACCTATCCATTCTCAATATCAAAGAAATGTTCTTTCTCCATTTTATGCTGTTTAACTTTATAGTTTAACTTCTCATTTAATCTTTTTAAATTAAAAAAATTATCTAATGTCTACTAAACACCTACTGTGTATGAGGCACTTTTTAAAGCTTTACATAAATAATGCATTTAATCCTTACTGTAACTCTATGAGGTATTAATAGTTCGATTCCAATTTTATACATGATGAGATTGAGGCAAACACTGAATTTTCTTCTCCTGTTTACAACTCAGCAAAAGTTATGATTTATTTCTATTTTGCTGTTGAAAAGCATGGGCAAATCTACACAGTAACTGTTTAACCAGAGTATCTTCTACTCCAAAGCCAGTGAGCTAAGAACTCAGAGCAGGATGGCTAAGATTTATTGTCCCAAGAAGTCAAGAAAGGCTGGTTATCTGTCATTCCACAGCCGCCCCTGAGGGCCGAGCCTGCTCCCCACACCCGGCCTGTGGTGATGAGCAAACGTGCCCGGGCGGTACCCTCAGAGTTCACGAGAGTTCACAGGAGAGGGAGAAAGAATATTTGATAAATCAGTGCCTGTTTCATTCCACAAAATGTTCGGGATGGAAGTATGGAGTGGTCCATTGTAAAGTGGGGGAACGAACAGCTGAGGATAAATAGATAACTTTGGTTTGCGATGTGAAGGACCTGGAGGATCAAGAGTATGTTTTAAGGAGGAGTCCTTGTATCTTTTTAAGAAAGAGAATAACGCAATATCATTTACAGTTTAGAAAACTAAAGCTGGTGAAAGTGTAGAGGATAGATTGGAGTGGGCTTCCCAACTAAGATTTGGAGTAGTTTCCACTTTCTTACATAGAGCAAGATGAGAAGCCTTGAAAGAAGACAAAGGCTGCAGGAGTGGAATGAACAGTAAGGATCCAAATGGTAACCGTAGGAAGAAGCTCAGTGTCTTTATATGGGGTAATACATGGGCGCTTAAAAACAGGGCTACACGCTTGAGAACATGGGTGGACAATACATTATTAAAAGTAATAGTATTGCTAAAACTGGTAAATAGCTGAAATCTTTAACAGCTGTAATTCTTCTTCTTAAATTGCAGACAGTTATGAAATTCTTGGTGTTCTATGCTGGTGATCTGGCCAATGTCTTTTTTATCATCACAATGGGAACAGGTCTTTATTGGCTTATTTTCTTCAAAGTAAGTGACTTTCTGAATTTAAATTAAATACCAATATATAAATAGCAGATAAGTGCTCTTTATTATAAAAGAGAATGATTTTTATGTGGGGGACAGTTCTGACTAAGAGTCTTGAGGCTAGCTTGGAGGTACAGTTAGCGTGCACAAGACCTTGGATTAGATCTCAGGCACCACAGAGAGTCTTGAAGCAAACCTTAAACCCACCGTTCCCTGCATGTGCATTTATTGAGTACATCACTATCTCCCTCTTTCATGCTGTCTTCAGCTTATAAATTGTGTTTACTGACCAAGTAATTTTGTCATAGGCACAGAAGTCTGTCTCTGTTTTGCTTCCGGTACCAGCTCAGGAAGAACGCTTTGTGACTTATGTGGGATGTGCTTTTGCTCTGAAGGTAAGCTTCAGAGGCAGGGACTGAACTTCAAAGGCCTGCTGATAACTAGTAAGTCTGTAAAATTGAAATTCTTTCAAATAGAGCTGATGACACCAGTGCTGCCTATAATCTTAGCACTTGGGAGATTAAGGCAGGAGTGTTACTGTGAGTTCAAGGCCAGCCTGGGCTACGTAGTGAGTTCAGCAGCAGCCTGAAATATATAGTGAGACTGTCTCAAAAGGAAAAAAGGGGGAAAAAGCTTTCAAAATCTTTGGTGCAAAATTTACCTTAAAAGAAAGCATGAATTATTTCACTTTACCTAGGAAGTCTGTTTCTATTTATAATAGTTCATTCAAAACAATTTTCCTGAAATAGTTTTTTTTCAAAAAACTATATCTGGGCATGATGACACACGCATGTAATCCCAGCACTTGGGAGGCAGAGGCAGGAGGATCACTGCAAGTGTGGGACTAGTCTGGGTTGCAAAGTGAGCTCAAGACCAGCCTGAACTGCATAAAGAGACCCTGTCTCAAAAAGACAAAAAGAAAAGAAAAATGAAAAAAGAACAAAAAAACCCTGTAAATGTGTTTGAATTCTCGTGAATTATAGCTAATTTGATAAAGTTATATTTCAGTATATAACTTTGTTCCTTAAAGTCTGATGATGCATTCACAATGTGACTCTTTGTTCATCAAGGGTTAAAGTACTGAAATCATAGAAGTTGTTTTCTCTATCTCCATACTAGATTCCTTTCCTAGTCTCCTATGCCAGCGCCTCTCCAACTTCAGTGGTCACTGTCCCCCTACGGGAAGCTTTGTTTGTGCCTCTGTGGCAGAAATCAACCCATTGCATTGGGATGCGTAGATCCCAGCTAGTCCCGTAGAAACATGATCTCATTGAGGAGAGTCATCGTTCCATCCACAGTTCGTACCCTTTGCTTGTCAGTACTGCATCTACTCAGGAGACTGCTTCAGTTTAAACATACTGCTCCTGTAAATGAGAAAGATGGGTTTCAGCAACATGTTTGTTGAAATCTGAAATTTCAACACTAGAAATTAAAAAAAAAAAAGAGTGAGAACATCCTACAACTTTAATTAAGGTTACAGTTGAAAAAAGTATTTTTACTTATAAAGAGATCAGATGATCCATAAGAACTGGAAAAGAGTGTCAATTAGGCAAGGCTCCTAGTGGGGGTAGGAGGGAGGATGTTTCCATTTCTTTCATATTCCTATTTTAAAGAAAGAAAGGAAGAAGGGAGTTGAATTTATAGATGTATAGCAATTTTATCAATTTGGAGATTCCAGATTATTTGCTGAGCTCCTCGTGACCCGCCCCCAGTACCTTCATGTGACATCTCTTAATAAAATTACATTCTCTTGTGGTAACAATGTGTTTCTTAAAGAATCAATATTGGTTTCATGAGCAGGCTTAATCCTGGTACTTTTCAGTTGTATTATTGTGTGTTGTTCTCAGGCTCTGCAGTTTTTGCATAAACTCATATCCCAGATGACCGTAGATATATTCTTTATTGATTGGGAACGGCCTAAAGGAAAAGTTCTTAAAGCAGTCGAAGGTAATTAAAATAAAAATTTGTACCAGAATTCTTTTGCTCCCCTTAGAGAGCAAATGAGGTGAAATGCTTTTGCTCATTTTCTCTCCCTGACCAGGTGAGGGTGGTGTACGGAGTGCCACCGTTCCTGTCAGCATTTGGAGAACGTATTTTGTAGCCAATGAATGGAATGAGATTCAGACTGTGAGAAAAATTAATCCACTCTTTCAAATACTTACTGTTCTCTTCTTCCTGGAGGTATAAAGTGTTTGATAAACTGTATGCAACTTATTGGTGCCTTATAAATGTTCATACAATTCCATGCTAGTTTTCCTAACAATTGGAGATTTTTTTGTACAGTATTGAACATTGCCATCAAGACATTAACAAAAAGTGAATTTTATAAAACTGTGGGGACTGCTTCCTCTTTTTCCCATAAAACGAAACAAAAATACTTTTAAAATAAAAAGTTGTAGTGAAATATTTAAATTTGCTACTTAGCCATCTTTAGGTATATAATTCATTATTCATTGTTGAGCAGACTCTCCCCACCATTGCTAGAACGCTTCATTTTGCATAACTGAAACTCTGTACGCACGCACAGCTCTGCGCATTGCTGCTTCCCTCCTCACCCCAGCTTCGGGCAGCCACCCTTCTACTTCTCCTCTCCACGAATTTGACCACTCTAGGTATAAACATAGATTTTTAAACCAGTGGCTTGTATCAGAATCACTTGGGAGACTTTTGTTTTTTGGGGTTTTTTTTGTCTTTTTTCCTTTTTATCGGTACCAGGGATCGAACTCACAACTGCCTGCTTGCAAGGCAGGCGCTTATGCCACTGAGCTAAATCCCCAGCCCCTAGATTTTTGTTTTAAAAAACAAAACAATCTGTGCTCCTCAATATGTTATTTATTGGCTTTGAGGGGAGCCTAGGTATCTGTATTTTGGAAAATCCCTCTCTCCCCATGATCTGTGTTCTCACCTTTACTTTAGAACCTCTATTTTATAATGTTGATTTTTTTTTTCAAGAACTTATTCCCAAACCCTAACTTTGAACTATGTTCTAAGCTAAAAGCTAGGGCCACAACTGATCAAACATGAATTTGCAGTTATTACTTGGTTCTTGTTTAAATTATCCAAAGAAATATTCTGTACTAGATAGAAGAATGACATGTAAAAATTTATTTGGACAACAGACTTTCTCAGGGATTCTCTGTCATCCTTTCTTCTCTCCTTTTGTGCTATTTACAGTACTCTCAAATTCAGTCCTGGTAGTGCTTTTCTTTAAATCAAGTAAATATTGTAACATATATATAGTATAAAAATATAATTAATCTATATATACCTTGTGGAATGGTTAAATCACACGAATGATCTATTACCTCATATTTCAAGGGCTTTTTTTATGGTAGTGACTTAAGAGTCTTTGATAAGATTTGAAAATGTATTACATGAAAAAGAAGTTTGCTAATCAATTAAGTTTACATAATACTAGAGTCAATAAAATTGTACAGAAACGTTACTAAAAACTTCTCAAAGCCTTTATTCTACAAGGGTTGGGTCAGGTAGATGAATGTAACATACAGATCGAACTTACTTAACAAGAAGAAATATCCTTCAGAAGATATTTTGGAAATACAAAAAGCATTTAGTATAGTGCGTGGCACATGTTAAATACTCATGAACTGCTGGTCAGTTGTTAGTTTATTAACAGTTTACTGAAGAAAGTTTTCTTCTTTGAATGGTAACTTTTGAGTAAGAACAAAATGATTGTATTTGGCCTTAAGTCATACTGGAAAAACCCAAATGCCCTAACTAAATATTTTTAAAGCTACTTTCTAATTAAAATACTGGATAATTATTTCTATCTAGATTTTCTACTGTTTGCAAACACTGATTTTTTTTTAAAATGAGAAGTAGAGGAATATTCCATCTGCAGTACAAAAGCATTGTCTTTTTTTTCCTTTTTACTTCAGGTTGTAGGATTCAAGAATCTAGCATTAATGGACTCATCTTCTAGTCTCTCTAGAAGCCCAGCTAGCTACATACCCCCTTACAGCCGCATACTGAGGTATGCCATATCTGCTGCTCTTTGGTTAGTCATTGGAGTTACACAGGTAAGTAGAGACTGTACTTCGAAGTAACATTGTCTCTCTACAACTCTGCTTGAATATTGATTACCTTAAATTATGAACCAGATCGTGACTTCACAGCGAAAGGTGACAAGAATAACAATGATAATAGCTAATTCCTATATTACGTTATAATCCAGATATTATATTAATCAATTAGTTATACATATTAACTACTGAATCTTTACCTAATTATCCCTTGGCCATAGTTCTGCAAGCAAGCTCATTTTACATGTGAGGAAATTTAAGGTACTGGAAAGTGAAATAATTGCCTGTCGTGCAGCTATTGGAATTGGCAGAGCTGGAATTTGAACCCAGGTAGCTTGATCCTAGAGTTCTGATTCTTGTCAGTAATGGCCTCTGAAGAGTCTGTCAGACTCTACAACTTTAGAAACCCAGGAATCCCTTGTCTTGTTGAAAAATAACTACAGTGATTGCGGTGCTACTGTGGAACATAGCTTATTGTTTGCCTGTATTTACAAATCATTAATCTCACTCAAATTGCTAGTAACGCTTGGGGAATCTTCCTTGAACCAGCCACTGAATGACTGAAACTAAAAGCAAATTCTTTCCACCTCAGGGTCTCACAGCTTTGGTACAAGTTTTTTCTATGCTTATTTTTCGTTCCTTAAAAAAGTGAAAAGACAAAACTCTTTAACATCTGCAGTTCTTTCTCTTGCTTTTAGCTTCTCACATGAACAGAAAGAACTTCTCTGTTTGTTTAAAAATTCCTTTAACTGTTATAATCACCAAATAAAATGGAGCCCCTAAAAAGATTAGGTTTAACTTGTTATTTCCTGCCTAATATGTACCCAAAACAGCCTGTTTTAAAAGATCTTTTAGCATTAAAGTTCTTTTAAGAGAACTTATTCTTTTTTTTTCCAAACGGTAGTAAAGTTTTATTAAAGATAGGAAAAAAACAGGCTCTGCAGAGCGAGGTTTGGCCAAGTGAAAGTAGAAAAGAAGCCCACCCTGCAGCATGAGGGTGGGCTGCCACGCCAGAGAGAGCTTATTCCAGTAGATAGATGCAGCTGGCATTTTATAACCTGAGAACTGACTTTGTAAGTGTCACTTTATTATAAATTAATGACGTTTGTCCAAAATTGAAGCTACATGGTTAGAGCTCATGAAGAAGAGTTGACACCCAGTAAAGGAAGACAAATTGAAATTAGAGTTCAAGATTACATGGGATCAAGAGTGTGGAGTTGATGTTTACCAGCAGTGTAACAGCACGGAGATATTTTATGCATATACCAGCATGTTCTGTGACTATATCAGATTCGCCTGATTGTAGAGAATTTAAAGGAACATCATCAGAAGTTTTTCATATGCAGCTGAATATAACAAAACAAAATAGAGGGGCTGAAATAAAGAGAGCTTTATCTCTCCCAAGAAAAAGAACAGAGCTGAGCAGTGCAGGGCTGGAATGATGGCACAGTGGTGTCATCAGGCCCCCAGAGCCTGCTGTTTGGCTCTGTGGCAGGTGGCTGTACTGCCAGGTCACCTCACTGGCCATAAGGGAGGCAAACTGCATCCTGTCTCTAAGAGTCTTTCGGAAGTGCCATTAGATGATCCTTGCCAGAAATGTATCGCGTGGTGGATGCCACTGTCTAACGTCCCTCTTTACTTCTGACTTTGCTACCCTACTGCCAGGAAAGCACTTCTCTCCGTGGCAGTGTTCTAATACAGTCAGTGTTCATTCCTCAAGAGTCTCGTGAGTTCCTTTAAAGATGCGTCATATTTTCAATAATGTATCTAAGCTCTTCTAGATTGTAATAATCAGCTAGGCTCTATTGTTCACTCCTTTCATTTCCTTAAACCCAGCATCTTCAACTTTTGAGTGATACACTTGGATTTTTAAACTTTGCTATTTCTCATGTTCTTCAGAGGGATTTAGAAATAGGCATGTGAAGCGTTTGGGATGGCCAGGTTTGGTGACCCACACATGTAGGCCTAGCACGCAGGAGACCAAGGCAGGACTGCAAGATGGAAGCAGGCCCAGGGTACACAGTGAGTTCAAGGTCAACCTGGTCTACGTACAGAGACCCTGTCTCAGAGACAGAATGCTATTAGTGATTATCATCTCTATCATCAACTTATGCGTATTCCTTTATTTATTCATTCCTATACATGAAAGCATTTTGTGGAGCTCATGGCTGTGCTGTAATAAGAGCTACACAATACTGTGACGAGGCTCCCTGAGGACCTGAGGTGGTCACCAGGTCAACGGAAATGTGCAAAGTAGAGCCTGCAAATGCGAACAGTGCTTAGGAAATGTTGTCTTTCTCTGAATGTATCAAAAACATATCTACCATACAAAACTTTTTATTTGTAAAATTTGGTACCTTGTGCCTGTAATTCCACTGCTCTCCAGCACTCTGGGAGGCTGAGGCAAGAGGAATGCAAGTTTGAGCCCACCCTAGGAAACTTAGCAAGATTCTGTCAAAAAATAAAAGGTGAAGAAGGGCTGATAGCTCAGGGCAGAGGCCCTCATGCCAATCCCCAGGCTGGGGGAAACTTTTTTTTCCTTTCAAGTATTGTTATTAAATCCAATACTTGAAACCATTCCACTTGAACACTTAAAGTATTACCTATAGTCAAAATAGAAAACTAGGTACATATTTTTTATGTGCTATTTTGTCAAAGATTATCTGAAAAGCAGAAAGTTTCCCGAAGTCTTTGGGTATGTAGATGAGCAGCCTTCCAGACACGAATGTGGCCATTAATGCATTAATATATCCTAAATTTTAAAAAGACCTTTTCTTTCTTCCCACATGTTTGCCTTACCTTGTTTTAATGACACAGAAATGTATTTAAAATTCAAAATTGAGAGCCAGGCATGATAGCACACATGTATAGTTCCAGCACTCAAGGGGCTAAGGTACAAGGATCACCGTGAGTTTGAGGCCAGCCTGGGCAACATAGCAAGAACCTGTCTCAAAAAGCAAAACAAATAAAAATTCAAAATGGGCTGGGCATTATACATACCACTGTAATCCCACTGTAATTGAGAATTTGAAGCTGTATAACAAGACCCTGTCTTAAAAAAACAATTAAAAAATCAAAATCTGTTCCAAATGACTTAACACAGTTCCATAATCCATCTTCTTCTGATGTTAAAGTCAGAAGTGACCAGTAGATTTTATCCCATAGGAACCATTAGAGGCCACTGTGTTCTTGGGTGGAACTACTTCTTCTTCTTCTTCTTTTTTTTAAATACTACAGTGTGACTATAAAAGAAAACTGAAATCCTAAAAACCATTAAGCATGAACTTGCCTTAATGTTTCAGATTGTGTTCTTCGCTGGCTTTTATGAGAGATTCATAGAGGATAAAATTCGACAATTTGTTGATTTATGTTCAGTGAGTAATGTAAGTACTTCCTGGTGGTTCTTTCTTGCAACTGTTACTTTTCCCATTTAAAGATCATGAATATATTAAGAGAGGCGTTAAAAGTGAGTCCGTGTGATTGGGTTTTTTAGTCTAATTCTCCATTGGTTGTAAATTCCAAATATAGTTACATGAGCTACAAGTTAATACTGACTGCCTAAGTTTTTCTTTCTTTCTTTGTTGTATTTCATCATAAATTGCTAATGCTATCAAATAGTTTGTTCATTCTATGGTCTTTGAAAAGTTTTTTATATATCAAAAATTTCTTCCTTTCTTGGAAAATATTTTAAATACCCTATCCATTTATTTTTAAAAATTATCTTTTATTACCTTACTATCCTTTTATATATTTTCCAAGAATTAGATCCTCATTATTTTGGGAGAAAGGAAAGAACTTTTCAAGAAAAACTTGTTATTTTGTCAATGAGTTGCTGTTGTATTTTTATGCTTATTTTTTTTTAGATATCGGTGTTTTTGCTGTCCTACAAATGTTTTGGGTATTACATTCATGGCAGATCAATCCATGGACATGCTGATACTAACATGGAAGAAATGAATGTGAATCTGAAAAGAGAAGCGGTATGAATATGTATTATATATCTTTTTGTTTTTAAGTTGGGAGATGACTTTCCTTATTCTTGGATTTATACTTTTTAAAATAACCCTTATGGATCATTTTGGAAAGTTGTTAGGATACCAGCTGATTACCCTGAACATAGGTAAAGAGAATCTAATTTTATCCTGCAGTTCCTGTATGAACTATATTTCAGAGTAAACAAATGACTCATGAGGGGCAAAGTAGAGGGAATTTTAAGTTAGAAAAATGAGATCAAGATAACCTAGAAAAGAATATTTCAGAACAAGAAATCAATTCGCCCTTCCTGTGAGCTATCACAAGCCATGCCAGGCCTGGGAGGAGAAACAAGAAGCCAGCTTGCCCTTCCTGTGAGGAGTCATCTGGCACACTGACTGAGTGACAAGAACACTCACACACACACACACACACACACACACACACACACACCTGGCTGATTCAGAGGAACAACTTAATGCTTGTATTATTTGATTAAGTATCTACTAAGGGGTTAACAATATGAAGTATAGCAAATATCTGAGATTTCTTTATGCCTTGTTTTAGAAATCCAATATTGTTTTTACTGTTTTGTTTTCTTTCATTTTATTGTTTTGTTTATTCAGTGTTCTGTTTTGATTGATTTTAGTCTGTTCTATTTTGTTTGATTTTATCATGTCTGATGGTATGGGCAGCTATTTTGAAGACAACATGACAGTATGGTAGCCATTGTTGATTTCCTATTATCTTGTTCTGAGGTCCTGTATCACTTTTATTGTTCTGTTCTTATTAGTTTTATTCTGTTTGGTTTGGTTTTATTCTCTTTAAAATAAAATTTAAAAAGTAAAAGGCACATATCTATTCATATAATTAAAAAAGAATTTTAGATTGAGGAATGACATTAAAAGCATAAAAATAGAAAGCATTAAAAAGGGAATATTAGTTGATGTTATTTTGTTAATATAGTATGTTTCTATATCAAACAATGATAAATAAAAGATGACAAATTAGGGCAAATGCTCACAACAAATATGATAGATCTAATGATAACAAAATTGAAAATTACACAAGGTCATAAGAAAACACTACATTTAAACATCAGTGAAAAAAATGACAAAAAGTTTAAAAAATAAACAGAAAAAACTAATAAACTTCTAAAATATTGTAACTCATAATCAGAAAACTGAATCTATGACTCCTCGTAAAACTAGCAAACTTTTTTTTAAAAAGGTAATATTTAATAGAGACACAGTGAAATTGGCACCCACAGATGTCATGATAAATTTTTACAAACCTTCTGGAATGCCTTTGAACAGTACATACCTAAAGCTTCTTAAGAGTTTATAATCTTTGACTAATTTTATGACTTTAACTCAAGGGAAAGGATCTTTATCACAGAGGTCACTGGTAGGGAAAAAATATGTAAAAATTGGAGAGTATGAGATAAATTGATTTGCCTTTACAGTGAAATATTAACTATATGTTAAAATCATGTTTTACAGAATATGTAATAATATTGAGAGTTGCTTAGGATATGAAAACTCGGTGAGATCCCAATTTTATGTCATATATAGGCCAAGTTGAGAGGGGCAGGTCAAAATGTTAGGTGTTTATGGTTGTCAATATTAAATCTTTGAGGAGACCTGATGTTGGTATCTGTTCAGTAAAATTCACTGTTTAGTCATGCATCACTCTTTCTGATTGAAAGTATTTCAATGTTTAGAAGACAAAAAACCACTTACAATTATAAAAGTAATCTAAGATCAGACTTTCTGGCATTCATTTACGAGTGATAATGTTAATCATAAAGAAAGCTAAAAATTTCAATATACAGTGAACTTTTTTTTTTGTAGTACTAGGGATAGAATTCAGGGTCTTCACAGTGAAGTACATCCCCATCTACTTTTTAATTTTTTTGTTTTGACAAGGAATCACTGATGCCCAAGGTGGGCTTGAAACTGATTCTCCTGTCTCAGCCTCCAGAGTACTAGGATTGTAGGTATGCACCACCATGCTTGGCTTTTTTTTCCCCCCAAAATAGAGCAAAGTAAAAGGGATGATATGAAGACAATAGGGGAAATATGAATTAGAATAAAATAGAAATTAGTAAAATCTGGAGAGGCATGAGACCCTTGGATATCATGTTATCGTCGGTGTCTCAAATACAGTTAATAAATTTCTCTAGGCTTCTAAATCTTGTAATGTGTGATACCAACTAAAAGAAAATGTTTTCCTTTTAAGATGGGCATTTTTTCATGACTTCAATCTTAAGTCCTTTAATTTTTCAGGAAAATTTGTGTAGCCAAAGAGGTTTGGTGCCCAACACAGACGGCCAGACTTTTCAGATTGCGGTTTCCAGCCAAATGAGACAGCACTACGACCGGATCCACGAGACACTAACAAGGGTTTGTATGAAGTACAATTCAGCATTTAACATTATTTAAATACCAAGAACTTAAGACGTGTTATGTTTATTCGGTTCTCTTTTCCATATTAGAAAAACGGCCCTGCTAGACTATTGAGTTCATCAGCAAGTACGTTTGAGCAGAGTATAAAAGCGTATCATGCAATGAATAAATTTCTTGGCTCTTTCATTGACCACGTACGTATAACAACATTGACATTTAAGCCTGGGCCAAATGCAGTTCTTCAAAAGTGCAGTGGAAGTGTCAAGTTTATCGTTAATCAACCAAGTCAGTGGAGAGTGCCCCTGCTCCCTTTGTGTCTGCCAATTTAATACTCAGAAATGATAGATTAACAAGTATGGTTTAGGATTATATTTTTTAAAAATGAGATTTTTTTTGTCTATTAGCATATGATGATTCCTTTGAAATGTCTGTATTAGAATTTTGTTAGCAATATTACTATATTACTCATTACTGAAATTCTTATGCTATAATTATATTCCTGAAAAGCATTTAATATATTATTTTTCAGTATATCTAGCTGTAAATCCTATTGACATTTAAAATTTAAAGTGTTTATAGGGAAAATTTTGTTGTAAATCCTAGTATAGTACATTTATTTTGCAGAGTAGATTCTCTTTGTGCTCTATTTATTTTTCATTTTTCCCTTCTGAATTTTGCATTATTTAGAAAGTATGTATATTGCTACCATTTTTTATACAGCTGTCTTCTTATATTAGGTTCATAAGGAAATGGATTACTTTATAAAAGATAAATTGCTTCTTGAAAGAATTCTTGGAATGGAATTCATGGAACCAATGGAAAAAAGCATCTTTTATAATGGTATCTTTTAATCCTTCTGCTGAAGTTTATTACTGTTTTCGAAATCTGGGAGGAAAGTACTTACAATTTTTCCTTTTTAAAAAATAATCTTATAGGGGGCTGGGGGTTTAGCTCAGTGGCGAAACATAAGGTTGTGCGTTGGATTCCCGGCACACCCAAAAACATCTTATATACAACACAGGAAGCATAAGGAACTCAATCTCAGACCTGTAGTAGTTTTGTTTTATTTTAGCATGATGTGTAGCAAAAACCAAATATATGAAAGAGTCTAGAAAAAAGTAAAAAGCTGAATTTCAGAATGAGAATCAGCAGTACACCTTGAAGAGATGATAAAACAAATTTTTATCGAAATGTTAATGTAGTGGCAAACTTCAGAAACATTTAAAGAAGCATAACACGTGATCAGTCTTGGATGTCTAATTTTTTATTTTGTCCAAATTCTTCAAAGTCACTGCTAATCTGACAGAAATGGTGACTACCCTGGGTTGTTTCATGGCATCTGTGTCACCCATAGTGTGACTGATAACCTGTCGCGTGGGTTGGTAAGAATGACAGTGGTACACCTGATGTCCCGGCTCAGATACCGTGTACCCGTGTGTGTTCCCTGCCAGCTGTCGAGCCAGGCCTGGGGACACAGACCCAGGTCCTCCCCTGGGTGTCCCATCAGGTAGGCTGGGGAGAGGAGTCCGGCAGGGCGTGGGCAGAGCGCGCTGGGCTAGAGGTCTGGGCGGGCAGAAAGACAATACACGTCTTCCAGGAGAGATAACGCGGAGATATTGGAAGAGGGTCCTAAGAAATACGTGCCTGTTTGCCAAACAAGAGGGCCAAGGGAAGAAAGAGAATCTGTAATTCTATCACTCTAAATTTTTTTTTTTTTTTGTCTTTTTCCTTTTTATCAGTACTGGGTATGGAACTCATGGCTGCCTGCTTGCAAGGCAGGAACTTATGCCGCTGAGCTAAATCCCCAGCCCCTCTAAATTTGTATTTTTAAGGACACATAAAGAATAATGATATTGTATATCTGCTAGGGGAGTGTATCACAGTATTTTGTTCTATACAGATACATGATCAGAACAAGTTTAAAAATCTGATGCTGGCAAAACAAAAACAAAATCTGAGAGCAGCTGCTAGTGCACATGGGTGGCAGGGAGCTGTGCTAAGCGGATCTGGTTTATACACTGGCTCGGTTACTGTGGCGGGTGGGAGAGGCTGAGTTAAAGAGGTGAACTTAGTCATGAAAAATAAAGCTTCGAGGATCTTCTAGTCTTGGATTAAAAATATCACTACCATTTACCAGGTTTATGAACTTAAGGAAATGGCTTAACTTGTCTGAATTTTAATGCTGTTTTTGTAAAATGAGGTATAATCATCTAAAAGTTTTGAAGGATTACTACATGGTAGAAACTACTACATTGTAGTCTATGCCTGGCTGTGTTTTGATTTATAATTACTCTACCTAAAGAATCTTATAAAGATTAGCCTTTAGTTAGATAAAGAAGTAGAGAAAAGATATTCATTAACTAGTCTTTGAAAGGTACATATTTATACTATTAGTAATTACCAGTCTTTTGTGCTAATATTAAAACTGTGTCTTATGAGTTTTTATGAATCTTTTGACTAACTAAATCTTAGTACCTTTTGTTTATTTTTTGTATAAATCATAAAATAGTCTACATAGTAATAGTTTCTAATTTGCTGTTTTTAAATATCCAAATTATATTACCAGAAATTTACCCAAGATGTGCTGTGTTGTTAAGTCTCTAACGTGTCTTCTACAATGTTTTTCATAGATGAAAGTTACTCTTTCAGCAGTGTACTGTACTATGGGAATGAAGCCACGCTTCTTATTTTTGACCTGTTGTTCTTCTCGGTCGTGGATTTGGCTTGCCAGAACTTTATTTTAGCAGCTTTCCTTACATACCTACAACAAGAGGTAAATTGAAGTTTTTTTCTGAGTTTCTTTTAAAAGAAATATATTAGTAGATATTTATTTTTATAGCACAGAGTAATGTCTACATACAGTAGGAATTTCTAAATGTTTAGAATATGACTAACTCTCAAAGAAAACCAAAAAGGAGTAACAGTAACTGACCACATTCTGCACTCTGTCCTGAGGGTCAGGGATACATACACTGCCGTCCAGCAGAGGCCGTAAAGTGCTTGAGCAAAGGTGAGAGAGATCTGGTAGGAGACACTTAACTGCCTGCCTCCTAGATACCAACGGGAGCAATAGCTTGAGCTGTTCATAGGGATAAAGCAGTCACTGGAGATTTAATTCAGGGCTCAGCCCTGGAGTCCTTTCAGCTTTCCTCATATGGATGATAAATAACTGAATGAAATCTCTGAAACGGAGATTTCAAGAAATGGCAAATCTGTGCTTCTTGAAATGCTGTTATTAATAATCATCCAAATATTCTCCATGGTGCCTAGTAAGTATACAAGTTAGTAAAATGCAATTTCCTGGACCTTGTTAGAGACTTACAATTATGAACAAATTCTGTCCCTACCAAGTAGATTCTTTCACTGTTTCCACAACTTTTAGACTTAGCAATGAGCTGCCTTTTCTAATATTTAAGTGTATTCCTGTGAGCATGACAGAGTTGCATTATTCATTTATAAAAACATATTGTAAATAGGAAGATACATTACTTTGATATTATGAAAGGTGAAAATAGTCTTGAAATAATTTTGTGTATCACCATAGAATTTAGATGTCTGGTACATAAAAATAGATAGTTGAAAGAATTAGCTAGTTTAACTTAGATATTTTAATTGATGTGCATATTTAATTTTCTTTGTATTTCATCTCATTCTTAATTGTTTTAATTTTTCAGATTTTTAGATTTATCCGTAATACAGTAGGACAAAAGAATTTGGCAAGCAAAACATTGGTGGATCAAAGGTTTCTGATTTAATTTATTGATTAGGTAACTTAAGGGTATAAACAGTCATGATACAGGTTTGCCATATTTTTTAAAACTTGTAATACAAATTACTTTTTGTTTTTTTTACCAACAAGAGATTTATTTTTATAAGCTGTGAAAATGTGTGATATAGTAGAAAATACTGTTTTCCCATTATGTCTTTTTCTTAATTTACTAATTAACACTAATAACCTAGAAAAATGTTTAAATGATCCTTTCCACAAAACACTTTTTAGTGATAATCAAAATAATTGTCATCTTTGTCTCTATGGATCATTTCATAAACTGTCATTTGCCTACATTCTTTCAGATTAATTTCAAGTTTATGTCAAGTTCAAAGCTAGTTTTCACTTCACTGTTTATGTTTTATTGACACTTATGATTGAATAAAGTTTGATACTTTCACGTGTCCTTAGCAATGATGAGTGGTGTTTTTGCCGGCTCCCTTTGCTTTGCTGTGGTCGCTCACCCTCTGGCCGTGGACTCAGGCACCGGTAGGATCTGGTGAAGGGGCACAAGTGTGTCCTTCCCACCCGGCCTCACCGCGTCACCACACCTTCCGGGGAGTGCGGACGTCTTTAACGTGGTTCACACTTGTGTGGCAATGGGGACCTTTCTCCCACTGTAGTGTTCAGACATTTAAATTGCTTAATATTTTTGCTTTTCAACTGTTTTTATCTATTATTTTTAAAGATTGCAAATAACAGAGTGTAAATTTTTCATGTTCTGTTTGAAGCAAACTTGGGCTTCATAAATCAGGATTTTCTTTTTTATAAAAGTGTATGTTTGCAACACATAATAGTTTCACTATGGGGAGTCAGTGTGTGTAAACCTCAAATCTTGATCATTTTTTGATGCCTTTTTTCTCAACATTTCTTTCTTGCCCATACTTTTGATCCTCTTCCTCTCTCTAAAAGTTTGCTTCCGTTTCCTACCATTTCTATTTTATTTTATATTTTATTTGTTAATACTTTGGATTAACTTTTGGATTTCCTTATCAGAGAAACCATCAGTATTTAACTTTCTACATGTGAAAGTTTTTTTTTTCACTTAACATTGTGGTCTTAAGATTCATCTATTCACATGATTTCATTCTTTGTTATGGCTGCATAATATTCCATTGCATATATGCATCACATTTTCTTTATCCATTTATCTGTTGAGAGGCTCTGTTTAAAATAAGGGAAAGAATTGAATTCAGAATATCAAAGTAAACTCAAAACCATGTAGCTAATACTTTTCCACTTTTTTTTCTCAACATACTCTGTAATAATTCTTTCCTATGGTATACCATGTCTTTGAAAGAGCCTTGTATTTAACATACGATTCTTAATTCCCAAACCAATAGGTCTTATTTTACTTTGATGCTGTGTAAATAAATAAATAAGTGATATGTAAATATTGTTCATATTTCTGACCTGAAAATATATAATAAAATCGTCAATGGTTCTGTTTCTTGTTTATTCGGTGTTTATCTCATGAAGTAACATTAAAGAGCATAGACGGTGGGAGGGGTTCTCAGCCACTGTCAAAAGCGTGCCTTTCACTTTTTGCTGAATCTTGACATCGACTGAAGAGAAAGAGGAAGCTAATGAGTTGAGTCTTTGAAATTCTAGTTCCTAAAAAGTCGCAGTAAAGCAATGTCTTTTACAAGCCGTAGAGATGCACAAAAGACTGACACAGATTTAAAAAACAACTCAGAAGCATGTGAAAGAAATGCAGCTTTTGTTCCACATGAAAAGTTATGACTGTCAGTGGATTTCAAAATAGAGGGTCACTTGGCTCATCAATAAATTAAAACAAAACATTTTGAAATTACTCAAATTTTATGCAGTACTACTTTTTATTTCAGGTAGATACACAACAATGTGTTCCGATTTTCAAACACTGACCCGTTGGGTCACATTGCCAAATTTAAATTCAGTAATCATTGTACACCACTTTCCCCCGGTGTCCATTTTTCCTCTGTGTCTGAAACATCCCTAAGTTGAAACAAATCCTGGAGAGGTTCTTTTAAACTGCTTCGTAGTTAGAACCCTTAGAAACGCACAGGCCCGCCGCTCACAATTTCTGCACACGAGTCCCTTTGTACTGAGAAGTTTATGTGCTCACTTCCCTGGCACTGCTGTCCTGGCTGTCTTCAGAGAAGGCCAGGCTGGTTGCTTCTGTGAGGAGTGTACACAGTGGCTGTCAACTTGGCGCTTTCCAGCATAAAGCACGTAGGTTTTCCTTTTTAGTGCTGGGGTGTGAACCCCTCATGCATGCTAGGCAGGTGCTGTGCCATTGAACTACATCAGCAGCCCAGCATGTATCCTTTTTGTTTTGAAATACGGACCAATATAAGCTGACAGAAAATAAATGTAAGTGGAAGAGCAGCAAACTTAATGGAAAACTCTCCAGATTTAATAAAAGAAGTCCAGGATTCAGATTAGAGTTTTGCCCCTATCAGGAGCTGTGGGAGAGTAAGCTAAGTTATTTGGCATCATAGAGCTTCACTCTCAATGGAAATAATACCCTCTGATTACCGCTTGGGCTGTTGTAAGGATTAGGATATTACAGGATGCTTGCAACAGGAGGCTGAGGGTGTAGCTCAGTGGTAGAGTGATTGCCCAGGATGTTGGAGGCCCTGAGTTCAATTGTCAGCACCAAAAAAACAAAATTTCTAAATGCTTGTAACAGTAGTCAGACTGAACACTGAAATTCTTAAAAATGTCATCTTAAAATAGCCTCAAAATATATTTTCTATCATGCTAAAATATAAATGCCATGGTATTAAAACTTAGATAACTGATCTCAGTAACCAGTGCAAATTCTAAGCCTTGTCTTCCTTAAAAAGGCTCTGAGCACTTTTTAAGGAAGCTACAAGGTGAAGGGTGGCAAAGTGACATAGTCATAACATAGAGACCACCTGAGGGACAGGGGACTGACAAACTCCTGAGCACTTAAGCTGTTACTCATCAAAAGCCTGATTTTGTTTTTTCTCAGGCAGGCAGGAATTGAAGAGTAGTTTTTACTAAAAACAGTGACTCTTGAGCATAGGAATCCTCAGTGGTAATCAAAATTTAGAATAGAATTCGATCTTAATTTTGTGAAACTCTGGGTCAAATCCTTCTTCTCATAAGCATTGTAGTCATTTAGAAAGTGTCTAACAGTTGGCAAAACAAGATCAATTAGCCCTAAATTTACCTAGTAAAGCTCAACACCCTTTAAGACTGGAGACATTAGGATAGCAGATTTTCAGGACATTCAGTTACACCCATGGTCTCCAGTTCCCTAACCCCAGGGTCTCCGTGGAGAGCTTCACCACCCAAGCTACAGACTCCTTCCCTTTCAGTTAATGCTTTTTTCCTGAAATTCTTACTTTAGTTTTCATTTCCATTGTTATTATTAAAGCAAGGACCCACACTAGCTGGTGATGAAGGCATTACAGCTCCATGCTGGAAGAGAGGGCTCGTTATTCATGTGTTCCTTGAGTCACAGCCCTGTACTGATACGGGGCAGGAAACTCCTGACCTACTAGATGACCAGTATGAGTTCGTGTTCTCTAAAACCAAAGAATGAATTTTAGGAACAATGGAGGTTATGAGCAGAATATATTTATTGAGAGAAAGCAAGTTTCTGTCTGAGACAGAACCGGAGTGGGATACCAAAGACTGTCTTTTCTAGGGACTTTTATAGAGTAAAACCATGAGGTGAGATGGGTCCAAGATGGGGAAAACTGGGAACTCAGCAGGTGGGCGTGAAGTGGGATGGAACTATGGTCAACCACTAAATTAATTGTTCAGGCAGAAAACAGGCAAAATTGACCAAATCAGAGGCAAATGGGAAACGGGTGATGTGAGCGGGCTTTCCTACAGAGCAGTGACTCTTCCTCTAGGAGGCTGGGATGGTGGCTCCTGGCTTCCTCAAGGTGGTCCATGCCTACTTAGAGTATCAATCCCTGGTATTTATACTTAGGTGTGATTGCATTTGTTTTGCCTTTTGTCTTGGGATCTGGCCCACAAGAAGGAGGCATCTGTCTCTTCCAACCTCATAAGACGTCTGGTCTTCTGTGCCAGCTCTTGAGGGCCCAGCCCTGTCTGACTGCCTATAATATTTCTAACTAACTCAGCTGCCTATAGCATACCACCATGCACTATACCTCCTGTTTCTACAATCTGTGAGTATAATAAGCTTCCGTTTCCTCTAAAACTGCAATTGATTATCACATAAAAGAACTCAGAACAGGACCCTTGGGAGTTTTGGAAGAAGATGTGGTTAGAAGGAAAACAGGAGTCACTGAAGGGCTTAACATCCAGCTGCGTATCCAGCCCTGTGTGGAGAGTTTAACCAGCTACCTTTGCTGCTTACCTACAAACGAGCACAGGCAGTGCCCTGCATCTGCAGGTTCCACGTCCAAGGGTTCAACCATCTGCAGATGGGAAATATGTGAAAAACACTGTTTCTATTGAATACCACAGACTTTCTTTTTTTGTTATTTCCTAAAACAACAGTGTAGCAAAGATTTACACAGCATTTACTCTGTATTTGGTATTATGTGTAGAAATGATCTAAAGTATACAGGAAGATGTATGACAGTTATATACAAATACTATGCCATTTAAATAAAAGATTTGAACATCCAGAGATTTTTGTTTCCCCCGTGGGTCCTGGAACCAATTCCACACAGATACCAAGTGGGTCAGTGATCAGCAGGGCTGGAGGGAATCGTCTCTAGTTCCATTGCTCTGGGATAATAGATGATCCCAGGAGCACCTAGGAGGCTGGTGCTCCTACTCCTCATGGCTGTGTCTTGGTTACTTTTCTCCTGTAGCTGAGACAAAATATCTGACACCCAAGGTTAAGGGAGTTAGGTAAGTTTATTTAGCTCACTGTTTGTGGAAGTTTCAGTTCATACTCAGCTGGGTCCAATGCAGGGTGGCTCACAGCAGAGAACAACAGTTCATGGCAGCAGAAAGCATCAAAAGCGACAAGAGCAAAAAGGGGAAAGCATGACGGGAAGACTCCTTCTGTTCCTTGTATTGTATGTAGGCCACCCACACTAGGGTGGGTGTAACACACATAACCCCAGTTAGGGACTGTGAATCAATCACGAATTCTAGAAGCCAGCCCCACGACGGGGCCGGCTGGGGGACATCCAGACACATACCAGAATAGGCTGTTTTTGTAGTTGCAGGGAAATACATTGCCCAGAAGTGAGGCACCAGGGTTAGGGGTTAACAGTGTAGACTCTGGAGTCAGACTTGCCAGTTCACCAATTATGAGCAGGGGGATTTGGACACATCATACTTCAGTGTCCTTGTCTGTAAAAGGGATTAATAATATCTGCATCACTGAGTTCCTGTTACTGTGTAACTCCAAAGGGATGCAGACGAGGCCCTCTGGAGCCTGCGAGACACTGCCATATCCTGGCTGTGCTAGGAGTAGTAAGCCACTTGCCACAAGGGAACCTGGGTTTTAAAAAAGAATCTTGCCTCATGGGTGCAGTGGTGCACACCTATAACGCCAGCTACTCACAAGGCTGGGGTAGGAGAATAGGCTCATGGTGGCTTAGGTCTGGTCTCAAAATTTGAAACAGCATTCAGGGTATATAGCTCAGTAGTAGAGCCAAGAGCAAGACCTTGAGGTCAATCTCAAGGACAGAAAACCTAAATAACTTTGCTTCTATTATAGTCAATACAAATATTTTTGCATGTTTCATTGTTATTGCAAAGAAATACAAGGCTGTGGCCCAAGGACAAATAAATGACTAGAAAAATGGACCCAGGGGCAGAGCTACAGATGTGTAGTTACACAGGCAGCATGCCATGCCAGGAGGAAGGGGTGTTTTGGATGACACCCCCACATCACGCTTAAAAGTCAATTCTAGGTGCAGGATAGATCTAAATGTGAAAGAAACGACAAAACTTCTAGAAGATAATAACTGGCAGTAAACTCAAGACTTTGATGTAGCTCAAGACCTCTTCAGCAAGACCAAAAAAAAAAAAAAAAAAAAAGGTAGATCATAGAGGGAAACATTGGTAAATTGTACATTAAATTTACTTAAATGTAAATTTTAATTTTATGTTAAAATCAAAAGTTCTATACATTAAAGTACCCCATTATTTTTCTCATGCTGCTTGTTTCTGCCAAAACATCCTCATTTAGAATACAGACGTTATCAAATCAATAAGAACAGTCAACACAACAGAAAAAGAGCAAGACTTGTGTATCCTGCCCTCAAAAGAGGTTTCCAGATGATCCACAAGCGCATTTGAAAAGTGTTTTAACCTTTTCGGTGTCACTGTGAGAATGCAAAATAAATGCGTAGAATACTACCAAAAAGTCACCCAAATGGTCAAAATGTCAAAACTTAGATACCACATGCTTTCGGGGACTGTGTGGAACAAACACACTTTTTGTTTGCCCTGTAGAGTGAGGGGCGTAGCGGTCAGCTGTAGCTTTCATCGG